ATTTTGTTACCTATAACAGACTACCTAGACAAATTATTCTTGAAGAAACTAAGGACTAATATTACTCTAGCCCAAATGTAACTTAGATAGACTGAATAAAATTGTATTACAAGCTAAGTATGTGATTAGAAAAAGAGAGTAAATTACTGGAAGAGGTGAATCAGTGGCCTTGAATTTGCCAAGTCTCCTCTTGAAATCAATAGGGTTTAAAGCAGCTGCAGCGACCTTAATCAGGACTTGATCATCCTTAATTTCAGGCACTGCAACATTGTCATCAAACTTCAAAACTTCAACTCCTCCATATTCACTATAAACCCAAGCCTTCATTGAAGGGGGTATTGAAGAGCTTGTCGAAACTTCAGCTGATGCAGGTGCAGCCTGGGAACTAGCAAAGACTTTAAAAGCTGACCCTTGAGACAATGTGCCTTTATGAACACCAAGTTTTGATTTTCTGCTATATTTTAGTTCGAATACAGAAGAACTCAAAAGGGTTTCTTTGGGAAAAAAAGAATTGAAAGGTTGAAGATGAAGAGGTGTGGGTTTGAGCTGAAGAGTTGTGGAGGAGAGGAGAGTTTCCATGAGATAAATCTCTTCCTCCAAACAGTTGTTAGCCCTGCTTATCTCTTTTGCCACGTCGTAGAAAGAGAGACGCTTAAGTTTGCCACCAGAGACTGCGAGCTCCCTGGACAGATGTCAATCTATTAAAATCTTTGGATTTGGTGGCTTCCAAACTTCCCGGGGCCACAAGAAACTAGAAAGTTCTCGGGTTATAGCCTATAGGTCTAACTTCTTATGCCGTCTCCATTCGTAAATCACTGGATGCTGTCCTTTTTTTCTTCCACTGGATGCTTTCTTAGATTGATCAAATTTGCAAGTTTTAGGCCAAAGAAAACTTTATTTGAACATCATAATCCAAAAGATAACGCTAATTCGAACCTTTTTCTTAGTCATTCGAATTTCCGTATTGTTGATTTGTTTCTTTACGCTTTAATTTTTGGCACTTCCAGAAAGTTTATTAGCATTTTAACTCATTTTCCCTTCATATCTCTATCTCTCCACGAACTGATTGAGATTTTGTTCCACTAAAGATATTTGTGAACTATCATCACATGCTGGAAACATTCTTCAGGGCAAAAGACCCTAGTAATGTTACTCACGGTATGGATCCCCAGGTGGGGGAAATCATGTTCGAGAAACCTAGAATAAAAATCGCATATTATTTACAAAAATACATTTCTTGAAAACAAAAAAAATTTAACTCTCAAAAGAAAACATTTGCTTTATTGAAACCAGATAACCAAATAATACAGAAAGTCTTGAGAAAGAAAAGTACAAAAAATTGCAAACGCTGTCGAAGACATTAAGATTCCTGAACAACCCTGACCAATTTATCAACTCCCATCTGAAAGCCTTCTACGAGAATGCTTTGCATTTCTCCTTCTTAAAGCCCATCTTTCTTTAATGTCATATGATAGCATGCCTTCATCAAAACTTCCCTCAGATGACCCAAGTGGAACTTGCGAAAATTCAGTTGTGGAGAATCCTTTAATCCTGGCAGCTTCAGCAACCAAATCATTTATGATCATCTCCGTGGTCTTTGCCGTGATTCCTCTAAGATACCAAGAAAAAGGGGGAGGAGGGACAATAGCTGGTTGTATGAGCTGATCCAAGCTCACTTCTGATGCAATCCTTCCTTTGCCTTTAGTGCATGAATCATATTCCTCCAGAGTTTTAGGTCCGACGGAATGGCATAATTGTTCGTCCACCAGTATAGGTTCCACTTTCCAGTGACCTTCGAATCTTTTCATGAACCCCGTTTTGATTTGCTTGAACTTCATCTAGTCATTTTGAAGGGAACAAGCAGATACAAGAAAATGAAAATAGTATTCTAGGGCAACAAAGTACTAAAAGGAGACAAGCTTAATTTAACATGTGAATGCTAACACAGCAACAGTCATCTGCCCTTAATAAACTGCATAATCAACAGCTTCAAAAATTTTTGTAAGATTACATTGCAAGCATTCTGCATCTCAAACATAATTAGTTCGGGTGAGGCAAAAATTTGGTCTCTTTCACTTTTCATGCACATTATTGACTTACTTGATCATCATGAATTCTAAATTCCATTGCAATTTTTAATGCCGAAGGACCAGTAAATGATTGCTTCCACTTGAAATTCAGAACAAATAATCCAATCAGCTCCTAAAATGTCCTTACCGAGTGATCTTCTCTGTTCTGATCCACTAATACATGAACAGAAATGGTTCCCGACCACCAAAGAAACCTCCACAGTGCAGCTTGCTCCAATTCAACCACCTGCCTTAGACCTTCATCAACTAATACCCTCCTTGATATGACTTCCTGGTACAGACACATAGTCCAAACTTTAGTAGCAGAAATAATTTTGAGGAAGAGTTCTCCACTGAGATATACACTAAATTCAGGATACAGGTGGTAGATAATCAGAAAGAAACACAGTGACCAAACAGCAAAATAGACAATCCCACCTTAATGTTCTTGAAGACCCTTCTGTTATCCGGATCAATGATAATGTCATATACAGCATCTGGAGGCAGCCCAATATTTACTTTCACATTCAAATTGCAAAGAGAACCTTTAGGAACACTAACCTGCATGAATTTGGTGCTGAAATTACACCTTAATAGACTTCATCAAACTAGAAATAAGTATCAACTATCACACTCAGAATCACATATAAGTAACTATTCAATATTTACACAGAGGGCAATGAAGAGTTTTATGGAGTCTGGGCTACGTTAATTTTCTCAAAATTTGATTTGAACTAAGTGTGTTGAATTCGTATTTACAGTTTGCTCTTCCGTACCTTTACTTCTGGGGTAGAATTAACCCAAATAGGATTCTCTTTCCAAGCTTGCAACTGCTTCTCCAAATTGACTTTTGCGGCAATTGATGAATCTTTGTCATTGCTATCAGTGCTGGCTGAGCTTGTGGTTCTGTCATCTTCCTTTGATGTCTTAGAATTTAACTGTAGCATGAGATCGTACTATTGTTTTCACTCATCAATGAAAAAAGCGTCAACTAACCAATTTTGAAGTCTTTTGAGACAGATAACTGACCTTCAGATACTTTTGCACTTGCTTAGGGAAGTTCACTAGAAAGGCATGAAATTCTGAACCAAGCATGGTCAGATGTTTGGTCTATTAGACTACAAGATATTAAAGAGGCATTTCAGCATCACCCATCAAGGCCACATTGGTCTACAATTAGTCAACGACAAACAAATTGTCACATTTTCAACAGACATTTACCAGGATTACCAATCTTGCAAAATATCAGGCACAGGTAGACGTTCAGTGCCCTTAGAGGCTTCGAGGTATGAATACATGTTTTAGCAACTAGCTTGACCCATGAAAGCTCACATCAACCAGAAACAATTGCAAAAGACAAATCCTTTCATCTTCCAGACATCCCATTTTGGAATACTAATCTTGGACAAAGTAGTGGATTCGTAACGTTGTCTTAAGCATTTCCAATTGTTTCCTTCCAAACTAAATGGGAACTTTAATCAAACACGTACAAGAAATGCTTCCAGAATTTCCAGTTGGCATAAACAGATAGAAATCTACTGCAGTTGCACCAATCCGGTGCCTATGAAACCAACTGGACACGATTTGAGAAACTGCGGATAATCTAGTCCTTCAAAGATTGCTCCAGATCTTCCAAGTTCCTATCCTTTCATAACAATTAATGCCATAATCTGGTCTATATGTTTCTTATTCTGCTTGGGATATTCCTTGTTTTTTGGAAAGGGGACAGTTTTATTAGCTGTTAGTTTACTATGTACATTCTCATTAAACATCAATCTAAAGAAAAACAACCATTATTTTTGTAAATTGCTCAGTAGAACTTTACAGTAGGACTAGGTATAAGTACTGCCTTAGTCAAGAGACTCAAGATTCAAGAAAAATTAAGAACTAAGCGATGTATTGACTAGATAAAACACCATAATCCCAGCTCAATTATGTCCTAGGAATCAATTTGAAGGCCATGTAATGTGAACATAGCTTAATTACCAATCACCCGACATAATAGACATAGACAAAAGATCTTTCGTAGTTACTCCACGACCCCTGGAAAGTAAAGAATCAGAACATACATACAGTAATATCAACTAATATTGAAGCCCATAGAGTTTAGTTCTGCGCGTATTTGCATTTTATTGGAGAGAAGTTGAACAAATGAAACAGAGATGTACTTACGGATACAATAAGCGACGCAGCGCAGAAAATCTTTGAACACGAGAGAATTAGCTCAGACAAAAATGATACCACTCTGTGTATAGATTCAGCCGATGAAAGACGCAGACAACTTTGCCGTTTGCTCTGTTTCTGAATTCAGCTTCTGGACGATTGGGGACCCTTTTTCTTTGTACTCCTACTGAAGCACGTGGCCCGGGCGGTGGGTGAAATACATATAAAATGTACATAATATTGTAAGATATCTATATCTATCATGTTGAATGTAATTTGAAACTATACAATAGAAAAATCTATATTATCTTATGTAATATAATGTATTTATTATTATTATTATTATTATTATTATATATAAATAGCATTATTTATTTTATTTTTTGAATTCAACATTCTTAAGTCTTAACTTCTGAATTTAAACAAAAAGAAACCGGCATCATATAGTATACCACATTGAATTGAAACATTACGGACGGTATGTGTTTTCATGCTTTATGTAGCTACTAGATGCCGCCATTTTCCATGCGCATTGCACGTTTGAGGTATCTGTTCACTTATATCCGGTTTGGATTCCTATTTTTAGGATTCTTTTTTTTTTTTTGAAAAATATATAGAAAAATGTACGGGAACGATTTGATTTATATAAGATAAAACAATTATTTAGAAATTTATTTACAAAAAATATAAAAAATTTTCCGCGACAGTTCAAACTTTGCTTTTACTTGCTGAAGTGTTTGTCCTGAAAAGCATGCGACCTACAACTAACAAGTCACACCTAGTAGATTCCGAGTCAAAATTTTTCTTGGAACTGCTTAATTCATGGCTTTGATCTTTTAGATTGAGCTTGATGTTTAATGAATCTACAAACTGCGTCTCGCGAACATGGGTTGTCTACAGGATTGGATTAGTCAGTTGCCAGATGATGTGCTCATGATCATTCTGTCAAGCTTGCTGATGAGAGAGGCAGCTAGAACACGTGTCCTTTCTCATAGATGGAGGAAACTGTGGAAACATTTCACCGGTAGTTTGGACTTTGATGCTTCAGACACTCTAAGGCTCATTGCCCATTTGGAAGTAGACCGCGTAACCGAAGCACGAAGGTATCGAGACTGGGTAGATCAAGTGGTGGTTTCACACGAGGGTTCATCATTCAAAGGATTAAGAATTGCTTTCGTGTTGGGCAAGTCTAATGTAGCTGCTCTGAATAAATGGCTCTACTTGGCCATTGTGAAAAGGGTTCAAAGACTTGAACTGGATTTGTCTTCGGCTGACGGAGGTGTCGGCTGCACTGATAGTTCTTTCACCTTCCCATCTTGGTTATTGCATCTTAACTTTCTTGACTTTACGAGCTTCGACAGGCTAACTTCCTTGTGCTTGAAATCTATTTCCATTACTGAAGATGATCTTGCATACTTCTTATCGAAGTGTTCATTGCTCGAGCAATTAACGGTGGAAAATGCTGCATATTTGCACAAAGTCAGAGTTGCTGCTCGTCAATCACTCAAGTTGAAGCACCTGGAGATCAGATACTGTTTGAAGTTGGAGGATGTTGAGGTTTCAGCCAGGAGTGTTGCTTCATTTAAATGTGCTGGCCCCATGATTAACATAAACGTTCCAGAATTCTCTTCAATTTCCCTTGCGGTTGAATACTGTGAAATGTTATTTGTGAAGTTTCCTAGAATCTGGTCTTTCTCAGGTCTCCAGCAACTAGAATTGAAATTGAATCTGAGGATGATGGTCAGTTTACTTCCATTTATCATCTTGAATTCTGCAATTGTTTACTTGTTTTTTGGTCACATTGCTTAATAGTGACACGCCTTGTACGCTATATGCACTATTTTTTGAGTTCAGGAACCTTCAAGAAGCATGAGTTTTCCGAAAGATATTCCAGAGTTAAGTGAACTCAAGCAGTTGGAGTTGAAGTTTAGAGTACCTGCAGATCACAGTATTCTCTTCTTGAGCTCGATAATACGTGCATCTCCTCGCCTGCTCAAGTTAATATTGAAGGTAAACTGGAACTTGCCATTTCAATTTTTTAAAACTGATTGTGGGGCTTCATATCAGCCTGTTAAATATGCACACATAAACACGTTTGTGCGGGTCCTTCGGGTTTTAATTATTTCTTCGAAAAGAACTTTTGAGTTCTATTTTTAGTTGAAGCCTGAAATGTACTTCGGTTGGTACTTGGCAGTGTAGGGTTGAATGGTTTTGGCCACTGGAAACTGAGACTTTGAGATCGTTGGAAGACTGTGAAAAAGGAGTGGAAGGAGCAAGCTGGGGAAAATCGTCATCAGAGCCTCAAGGAGATCGAATTCGTTGGTTGGATTGGACTGGAGAAGACTGATGCCCAATTCGCCCATTATTTGATGGATAGTGCCATTTCACTTGAGAAGTTGATTCTTGATTTCACAAGTCCATGCTTTGATAGGAGGAAAATGGCATTTCTGGGAGACACCTTGTATTCGGAGGAGTAGGGAAGATGTTTTATCAAGTGCACTGCAGCTTGAGACAAAACTACCCCCTACGGCCAAGTTGATCATATGCTTTGAATCATCAACAAGACAAGAGTATTAATACTAGCTTCGATTTATTGGACCTGAAATAGTTATTTATAGTTTATTATTTGATTGTTTCAAAAACTTGTGGGTTCATAAATTTGTTGTCGATCACTTAATGCTCATCTCATCTCATCTCATTTGCTGGTAGCTGTTTTGGTCTGGTTAAGTTCCAAACCCCCATGCAGAATGGGATTCCCGTAGTAAATCCAATCCGTAACTACAATCAGTTCCGGGTTCTCGAATACCTTATGTAAGTTGATTGCAGAATGGGATTTCCCCGTTTCCTTCATTTGGTACAGATGTTCTTTTATTGCGAAAAAAGGGACACAATTACATGAAAACGAAAAAAATAAATGATTACTGCGCGGGGACAGTTGTCATCCTTCGCAGATAATATGAGAGTTGGAGCCTGTGAACTGAACGAGCCATTCGTAAATTCCACCATTTGTCACTAGGATCCCTATTAGACCATTACAATTTTCACAAAAAAGAAAAAGAAAAAGAACCCCAAGAAATGAAAGAAACCCATGCCTAATTAACAGTAGTCATCATCTAATCCAAGAAACTTATGTAATCCGAAATAAAGAAAAAGGCACAATCGAAAAACCAAACAGCCATTCTAACTGTACGAGGTGGTTCCATTATCCTCGTATTGTACTCCGAATTCTCATGGACCAGCTGTGAATTCTATATGATCATCTGCAAATCTCACTGGTCCTTTGGGTTCGCGCCCATGGGGCATAATCTTAGGCACTGCGAAATGATCTCCATTGGCAGCAACTTTAGCGGATGCGAATCTTTTGTCAAATCCAAACTCGATGTCCCCACCTCCTGCTTGATGGTGAAACTTGCCATTTGGTTTAGCTGTTTTTGCCTTTTTGTGCGATGAATGGCCGCGGGATCGCTGCCCCTTCGAGCTGTGGTAGCGCCGGTTGCAAATGCGTCCGAGAACAATAGAAATAAGAAGTAGAACGAGTATCACTCCCAGGACTATGAGGACGGGGCCGAATGATCCATTTGAATGAGATGAAGATTGTGTTGGGATATTAGGACTAGGATAAACGTCGGCCGGTTGTGACTGTGACATGGTTTCTTTGTTTTATGTCTGGGCTAAGGATAGGGTATATTGTCCTAAAGATTGAGAATTTGAGGGAGGATTAAGTTCTGGAGCTTGTGTTCTTTGAGTGCAAACAAAGGCAGGATTATTGGGTGAAGTGTGACGGAGGAATTAGAGTAAGAAGAGAGTGGCTAATGAGCAGGAGGGAAGGTGGAATGGAAACATTTGATTCTCAAATGTGGGGTTTTCTTATTTATTGAATTCGAAAAAAAAGTGGGGAGTTTTCTTCTTTATTAAAGAGGATTAAAGATACAGCTAAAGATATTCCTCGTGTCTTTTACAGCGGAAGAAGGGGTATTTTTGTTGCTTTGTTAGGAGAGAAAGTAAGATTTTGGCAACTTTGAACATCATCACAATCTCAATAATGCCCCCCGTGACCTTGAGAGAGCCTAGCAACATTCGCTTTCTTAGCTCTTTTGATTTTTGAGTCCTTGCAATGGTCCCCGGACTGCCCTATGATGATCCAAGCTTTGCACTTTGTCGAAGAAGTCTTACACTTTTATTTAAACGAAGTCAGTATAGAATTAGATTGGAACCAAGGCTCTAAAACGTCTTCTTCCGCTGTGCACCAGTTTGTTTTCATTCTCATCCTCCATCAGTTCTTCTACTGGACTGGTCTTGCTGTAGAGAAAAGAAAATAAAATACTACTAGTATGTTTGTTGGTCTCAACAAAATTCATAAATGAACTCATGATTGGTTACTATATACAGGAGAATCATTACGAAATTAATGGCAAAACTTTTTGGAGCATTCTCCATGCATATACCTGCAATTATCATCTCAAGTTGTGCTTTAGCAGCCGCACGCACCACGATGGGTCTCTACGTGCTTTTCTGGGTCAAAGGCAGCCTTTAGCAGTGGAAATTAGTCGGAAATTGACTGCTCAAACCTGTGCTTTTACTTCATTTGCCTCTCTCTCTGTTTTTTTTTTTTATTTTTGGGTTCTATACCGAATCCAGAAGATATATCTCTTGGAGTTTCTAACATTAACAATCACAGGGCACTCGAAAGTTGTATAGAAAAATGAAAATTCTCGTTGCCCCGTGCAAATGGAGAAGGTTCATACATCCTTTAGGCCTCAAGATTTTTTCTCTCTTTTTTCTGAAAGGCTTGATGCACCAAAATGGAGCTGAAGATACGCTGATACAGTCGTGCGTGCCTGAGATAGCGAACTGCAAGAATAACAACAGAGTTTATTGCAAAAGAAAGGACGCGAAGCCCATGAATTAATATGAGAAAATTGCTACAAAAATCAACTTTAAGCATACGTAGAGAAATGCTCATTTCTTGCATAATAACTAAGGAAATGGCGTAGATTAGGCAACATAATTTCGCGTAAAATATGTGTGAAGGATTAACACATTTAGGTAGAATTGCGCCTTTGGCTCTTTGCTCTCCTTGCTTTTAGCAAGGCAGGAGGATCCTGATTGCTGGTGGTGGGAGGCTGGTGTAGGGCCTGATGTCCTACAATTATTAGACCAATGATAAGCTCTCTATGGCGTGAAACATAATTATGCAGAACCCTGTAGGATATAAAGTAACGGGAAGCCTTCAAAATTTTAAGAAACGGGCAATCCTCCATTACAAAAAGAAGCTTTCGCTATTCAACCCCACTTGTGAACACCTACCTAGGTATATGCTTGCTTGTTCGTCTTTTTATTCTCTTCGTTTTCCCATTAGGTTCTCTAAGCTTCAAGAATCATTCCATCAGCTTTGAGCCTTTGACCACATGGGGAGGAACGTTTCCGATTACTTAGCTTCATAATTTTCCCAAATGGTCTCCTGCTCTTCTTTAGTTTTATTGTTCTTTTTTTTTTTTGGGGGGCCATTGCACCACCTGTAATATATACTCTGCCAAGTGTCCTTCGAGTATATATACACACTACCTGTAATTTCACACAAGAATTCTTAAAAGGTTCTGTAATTGGTGGTTTGAAGTGGATAACAGTTGGTGTTCTCTGCTTTCATCCTGTCCAATTAAAACAGGGGGTAACAAAAGTTATGCAAGATACGAAGTGGACGACCAACCCTCTTTTCATACTTCTTTCTCTGGGGCATTCAAAAACAACTGCATATATACTTGCTAATTTCCTTTAATTCATGAACCAACATCACTATATTCACGTATATATATATATAGACTTCTGAGTTGCTAGATTTTAGTTGCTTTAGCAAACGGCAGGCCATTTTTACGTTACATAGTTTAAATTTATTAATCAACATTACTAGATTCATTGGTGCAAACATCATATATTCTGCTATCTCCCAGGCTTTTTTTTTTTTTTTTTTTTTTATAGCAGAAGTAGTCATTCTGCATGCATTTGCATTTGCCATCATGAAAAGAGGATAATAGGTGATCGTGTAGTTGTTTACAATGGGACAGATGTAACAATCATTGTCTGTGCCAATAATTTCACTTAAACTAGAGGAGAGCCTGTAGGAAGAAAAGGAAAACTGGATATGTATTCTCTTGGCTGCAGCATAGGACCCTGTAAAATTAGCATAACTTGACTATAAGTCTGAAGGGGCATGAAGTTCCGATTAGTGGACAATCTATTCCAATTCAACCTTTATTTTCTCAGTATTTGTGACAAAACCAATTTGCCCTCATCCTAATTAACTATGACAATTCACGCATGGATTTATAATAACTTTGGACCCCTAAAGAAAAGTAGATGAGCTGCTTCCCTAGTGAAGGCTCCGGCCTACTAATGTAAGATCCATCAATGGTGCTAGGGTTAAGATGGCAGAATACTCCAATTATGTGCACGCCCACCTCATTTGACATAATTTTTCTTTTAAGGGCTCAATGTAATCCGAACCAAGAGGGTGAACAGTTGAACCTTGCACGATATATATGTATGAACCAAACACCAAGTAGTTCCTGCTTTATATCTTTAATTTGAATCTGGAAAGAAGTAAAATCATCATCTTTTTCTGCTCTCGTCACCTCTCAGTTCTCTCACCGACTTTTTGCTGCTCTCTTCACGCCGTTGATTTGTTCATGGATGAAATTCCCTACAAATGCATCAAGAGTTTTATTTGTTAGTCCCCTCTTGCTATCTTTTTCTTGGGTAAAGTAAATCGCAACAAACTCAAACTAAACTGCTTCGAACCAAAATCATACTTAAACGTTCCAAAAAGAAAAAAAGTTAAACCAACGGTCCGAAACCAACTTTTTACTTGCATCGAAACATTGTTCGCAGCTCTTCCGACACCTATATTTAATCTAAGGTGCTCTAGCATCTTTCCAATATCCAAGCATGGTCATGGCAAGAACGAAAATTCATGTCATTCTGGTGTTTGTTAGTTCTCTACTCATTTTGCTTCCAGATTCACCAGGTTTGGATGGAACTCTTCCGCTAAGTTGGAATTTGGACATCAATAATTGCTATAGTTTTTGAGTCGATTTTTGTCCTCAATATCAGTAACAATTTGGCTTTCTTTTCATCATTAATTCTTGCAGTTGGGGCACCGGTGGGGGTTTGCTATGGTCGCGTCGCGATCAATCTCCCACCTCCCTCGGATGTTGTAGATCTCCTCAGATCCAATGGCATTTCAAGAGTTCGTTTATTCAATGCTGATGCAGAAGCACTGAAGCCATTCTCAGGGACAGAAATTCAGCTCATGATTGGTGTCCCGAACGAAGTCCTGCCCACACTCGCTAATGGGATGGTTTCCACCGCATTGGATTGGCTCCAATCAAACATTTTTGCATATGTTTCTCCAAGCCAGGTTCGATACCTAGCCGTAGGCAATGAAGTACTCCTAAAAGATCCATTTTACTCACCATTTCTTGTTCCTGCAATCCGTAAGCTACACCAAGCTCTTCAAGCATTAGGCCTCGCGGATACAATCAAACTCTCTTCAGCTCATGCTGCAACAGTACTATCCAACTCCTATCCACCATCAGCCGGAGCTTTTGATCCGAACCTCCTCTCAGTCCTAACTCCACTCTTGCAATTTCTGCGCGACACAGGATCGCCCCTGATGGTCAATGTGTATCCGTTTTTCAGCTACATAAACAATATGCAGTCCGTTTCACTAGACTACGCTCTCTTCAGGTCCTCCGCTGTTCATGCGGATCAGAAGTTGGCATATGACAATATGTTTGATGCAACGATCGATGCTTTCGCGTATGCCATGGAGAGGGAAGGATTTCAAGGCATCCCAATAGTGGTGACAGAGACAGGGTGGCCAACAGCAGGGGGAGCTGCTGCGAATATCGAGAATGCATTGGCCTATAATGGTAATGTTGCGAGAAGGGGTTTGAACAATATTGGGACGCCTAAAAGGCCGGGAGTCGGTGTTGAGGTTTTCCTGTTCGACCTGTTTGATGAGGATCAGAAGGGAGGGGAGGAGTTTGAAAGGCATTTTGGGATCTTTCGAGTAAATGGTGTCAAGGCCTACGACCTTTCATTTTATTAGTTTTAAGTACTGTGCTGTCTTCTACTCTATTGCTATTTGCTGGTCTGTAGTTTATTTGCATGGTTCATAGTACTTGAAAGCAAGGCATATTCTGATGTTCTCTACAAGTGTATAAATTGATGGATTGCATCGAATTTGTTCCAACTGATGATTATAGATACAGAAGTATCGTCTTAGGAAAATTCATAATTATGTCCTGAATCTTGCTGCTTTGTATATATTCCGTTTCCGTTGGTGCAAAGATGTTTTTTACTCATTCAAGACTCCGGCGATGGGTGTTAGGTTGCGTAAGAATCACCACGAAGCGCGCGTTGAAGAATCGATGCCAGATGAAGATCAGTGCCAAATTCTGCTTATCTTTGTGAAGATTTTTACTTCTGCTCAGATTGGCCCTACCCAAATTGAGAGTCCAGGATCATGTTAGCAGAAGGGCCCAATTCGCGCCTTAGTAGTTTGAGCCTGGATGAGATGCGGAACAAATACGGGGGACAATCTCAATCTCCGGTTTAGAACTTTTAGAGCCCAAAATTAACGCCTAATTAACAACTTAGTTGATGAACTTCGGAATAAATTTGTTTATATTAAAGGGTTATTATCACTTTACCTCCCTAACGTTCGGTGTCACTATCAATTTTCTCATTAATATTATCTTTTAGTCACTTTATCCCAAGACTAACAGTCAAATTTAATGGAGTTTATTAATTAAAGTAAAAAGACAAGTTTAGCCCTTAAAGTTATTATCATTTTACCCCCATAAATTATAGTTTTATTATCAATTTACCCTATAAAGTTATTTTTTAGGCAATTTATCCCACTATTAAACCAACTTAACAAGTTAAAAAACTTTAGAAGAAAGTGTCATCCTCTTTGTATAATAAAAAATTTAGAGTAGCTCTTCTCCTCTTTAGTACTAAGAAAAAAAGTCAAAGTATTAATTTCTTTCTTATTGACAATCTTATTAATATTAAAAAAATAGAAAGATGGGGAGAGAGAGAGAGAGAGAGAGCTCAATTCTTTTTTTAGATAATACAAATAAGAAAGAATTACATACTTTTATTATTTAAAAATTATTTCACTTTACTGTTTACCACCAGATTTCAATTCTAATCCCAACAATCTTAAATTAATACGATAATGTTAGACTTTTTTAATTTTTTTTCTTTGAAAAATCTAATTTTCTGTTTCCTTCTTTCCTATCTCTTTTTCTTTTCCTAGTATTAATAAGTGTGAAAAAAAATTTTGAGAAAACCCTTTTATTTTTATATTTTTGGATCTCTTAAAGTGAAAAAAAAAAGAAGAAAAATAATCATTCTAAATTTTTTATTTTTACTTATATATATAAGGGTAAATATATTTAAAAACTTTTAACCATACTAGTTAGATTAACGATGAAGTAAAATGCCAAGAAAATAATGTTAGGAATTAAATCGATTATATCACTATAATTTAAAGGAACAAAGTAATAATAACAATGTAATAATGCTATTGAATAAAAGAGTATTTTTGTCTAAAATTTCTTAACATGTTGAGTTGAATTACTTATGGGGTGAAGTGACTAAAAGCTAACGTTAGAGGGTAAATTGATAGTAGTGATATAATTTAAGGGGATAAAGTGATAATAACCCTATATTAAATGTTATCCAGCTTATAAAGATGTAATAGTAGTAATTTATGGACAAATTGCTCAAAACTGTGATCACAGTGGCCTTTTAGATGAGAGATAAATATTAATGGGCTGGGAATCAGCTTTCTTAACAGGCAAGAAAATCGAAAATCAAAGGAACAAAGAAATTAGTACGTGGAAAACAAAACAAAACAAAACAAAAGGAAGAAAAGCATCCTACCGGGCCAAGTGCCCTACAGGCGGGGAAACGACAAAATTCATGAAACATAAATGGACGGAGAGGAGTCACAAAAGAGAATAAAGGTTGATTGCATATTGGTAGTCGGCACCCCATTCTTGTATTCCCATCTTTTTTCTCTGCTTAAAAAATTATTCCGTTACTGCTAAGAATCGCTCACTCTCGGCATCTCGGTTTGCATATTTGTTCAAATTAAAGAGTGAGCTCAGCGCACTAATTAGCTGGGCTGCTTGCTGCTAAATTAGCTTAACTTCAATGGCAGAGGGAGCAAATGGACGAGTGCATGATCTGAACACCATGCTTAGCTCTTCAGATCGAGACTTTCTTATTCGCAACAACGGCCAACAGGTGCATAATTATGGACTCCTTTTCGGCTTTTGGACTATTTAGCATGCAGACAAGTTTGGTAGAATTACATGTCGGATCACCCCAAAAAAATTAGAAAAAAGATTTGAGATTGCTAAGGCAAGATAATTGCCTAATGGAATCCGTGGAATTCTGGGTTACCCTTAATTCTTGCATCGTAAAAGACTTTGTATAAGTTTTGTTAGTAGGGGGGGAAAACTGCTTATTGTTTCTATAAAATTTTCATTGTGTACAGTTTGTCGTCGAGTTCCCAAAAGAAGCCTGGATATTCTTAACTTTGTTTATGGTGTTTGATAAACCAGCTGATTAGAGGTTATCTACTCTTTTAGTCTACCTATTCTTGAATTAGTGAAAAGACTGGAGGAAAAAAAAGTGGTGAAAAGGTTCATCTTTTAAGAGTGCTAAAATTTAGTTACTGTTTTTGTCTGTGAAATACTGTTTTCTGTTGGATGTGTTATCATCTTGGCAGTTTTCTCATCATGATCCTTAGCTTTGCAGGTTAAGGTAGAGAGTTTAAAGGGGAAAAAGGTCGGGTTATACTTCTCAGCATCATGGTGTGGCCCGTGTCGACGTTTCACCCCGAAGCTGGTAGAGGTTTACAATGAACTCCTTCCAAAGGATGACTTTGAGATTGTATTCGTCTCTGCTGATGAAGACGATGAGTCTTTTGCTGCCTATTTCTCTAAGATGCCCTGGCTAGCCATTCCCTTCTCGGACTCTGAGACACGTGATCGCTTGGATGAATTATTCAGTGTCAGGGGAATTCCACATCTTGTGATTATTGGTGAAAATGGGAAGGTCTCAACTGATGATGGAGTTGAGGTCGTCCAAGGGTGTGGAGCAGAAGGATATCCATTTAGCCCTGAATGGATTAAAGAAATTAAAGAACAGGAAGAGGTGGCGAGGAGGAATCAGACCTTGAAGACTATCTTAGTCTCAAGATCACGTGACTATGTGGTTGCTAGTGATGGGAAGAAGGTAATAGTAATATTCAGCTTTGAAAACATCTGCGTCCCAGTACTTGCAACTTTACTTCGTATGAGCCTCGTACTGATTTGTGCTTTGATAGGTCTCCGTTGCTGAATTAGAAGGGAAGACTGTTGGCCTGTACTTCTTCTTATCGACATTCGGTGGTCGCAATGCTTTTACTTCTAAACTACTTGAACTTTATGAGAAGTTGAAGGCAAAGGGAGAGAATTTTGAGATTGTGATGATACCCCTTGATGATGATGAAGAATCATATAAGTTATGGTTTAAAAACATGCCTTGGCTTTCGCTGCCTGTCAAGGACAAGGGTTGTGAGAAGTTAGTACGGTATTTTGAGCTGTTTACACTGCCTACTGTGGTCATCATTGGGCCAGATGGAAAAACTCTACATTCTAATGTTGCTGAAGCAATCGAAGAACATGGCGTCCAAGCTTATCCTTTCACACCTGAGAAGTTTGCGGAGCTTGAGGAAATAGAAAAGGCAAAGAGAGAAGCACAAACGCTTGAGTCCATTCTGGTTTCTGGAGATCACAATTTCGTGATAGGAAAAGATGGGGTAAAGGTATGGCATTTGGAAGACTTTTTTCATTGTTGCTTAGATCGGTAAGAATGTTTCACTGGACGTTATCTTATTTACAACTCTTTGTGCATCTCCAGTGGAATGAATGCATACCTGGTTTAAGCCTACTCTTAGTATTTGCAGCTACAGTTGATGGTTATGTTAGCAACATCTTTGTGAACTTGCTGCAGTTCATCAGTAATTTCATTTTTCTGTTAGCGTATAACTAAGCTTAGTTCCACTTTGCAGGTTCCAGTGTCTGATCTTGTTGGAAAGACTATACTCCTTTACTTCTCCGCTCACTGGTGCCCTCCTTGTCGTGCTTTTCTGCCGAAGCTTATTGAAGCATATCACGGGATCAAAGCTAAGAACGGTGCATTTGAAGTCGTCTTCATCTCAAGCGACAGGGATCAAAACTCGTTTGATGAGTTCTTTTCCAAGATGCCTTGGCTGGCACTTCCCTTTGGTGATGGAAGGAAGGAATCTCTAAGTCGAGTATTTAAGGTGCTCGGCATACCTATGTTAGTTGCCATTGGGCCTACCGGAAAGACTGTCACAACCGAAGCCAGAGATCTTATAACATATCATGGTGCTAATGCCTATCCCTTCACGGAGGAGCGACTGAAGGAGATCGAGGAGGAGTATGATGAGATGGCAAAGGGGTGGCCTGAGAAGGTGAAGCACACATTACACGATGAGCATGAGCTTGTTCTTACTAAGCGTCAATCTTTCGTGTGTGATGGATGTGATGAGGGGGGACAGGTCTGGTCATTCTACTGCGGAGAGTGTGACTATGATCTCCACCCAAAGTGTGCTCTGGAAGAAGACATGATGGAGATCACAGACGAGGCAGAAACAGAAGTTTCAAATAAAGACCAGAAAGAAGGATGGATTTGCGATGGAGATGTGTGCTACAAAGCTTGAGAGGCTGATAGCTACAAAGATTCTGCCTATTTTTTTGCGGATACCTAACAAGTATCAGCAGAAATCTTGCAGTTTCTATCTGATGTTTATAGTCCAGGTGTGTTTATATATATACATCAAACGAGGGTTGTATTTCTATTAACATCTATTTCCTTCTTCCACCATCGGAAGAAATAAGTTTTAAACAATAATGGTTGTAATTTCTAGTATTGTTGGCAGTGGTGGCAATGTAATAGATCTCTTATATCTATACATAGCTTAAAGTTGCTTGCTTTTTTGTAGCATTTCTTCTGTGGAATGCTAAGCGTTAACTTGGTATGATATCATCTCCATACGCGAGCTTCTCTGATATAATTGAAGTCAATCTCGGAATAATGGTTGTGTTCTTCTTTTTTGTTCTTTTACAGGGATTCATTTCAATTAAGAATTGACAGCATGTAAAAATTTTCTGTCGTCGATTTTGACTGCATGTTAAGACTTGACATGTGTATAGTAAATTGTTTTTGAATAATTGCATCGAATTTTGTCCCAACCGATGATTATAGGCGCAGATGTCTTGGCGAAATTCGTAATTGGGTCCTAAATCGCAACGGATATTCTGTACCACAACCCTGTCTCACCCCTCATAAACTTGCCAAGTGTCCTTTTATTAACCCAATCCTGAAACAACCCAACTCAAACCATGTTTAATTATTTAACCGATTAATCGGGTTGAGAAACTTAATCACACAAAACCAAAATCCATTAAACTAAAAACCCAAAAAACAAAATTAAAGATTAAACAAGGCACAAAAAAAAAACCCCCCACAAGGCCACGATTCTGGTTTCCCATCAGATTTCACTCCTCCTCAAAAGCTTCATCACAAAATTCGGGCAGGACAACAAAGTGCAATTCAACGCAGCAGGCCACGATTCTGGTTTCCCATCAGATTGGTATCCTTCTCAAAACCTTCATCGCAACGCAGCAGGGCTGTCCGAGTTCATCATCTTCACCATTCAGCTTTGACGAAATATTCACGGAGCAAGGGACGTAGGTGAATTTTCCTAAACTAAAGCCTTTTCTCCTAAACTAAAGCTAGTCTTCAACGGAGCAAGGTACGTAGGTGAATTTTCCTTCAAATAAGTACTCTTCATATGCAACGAATTGCGTTATTTATGTGCCGCTTCATATGCAATGAATTGCGTTATTCATGTAAACATCAGCACAAGTCTCTGAAGTCAACCTGAAGCCTCTGAACTTAAAGAATTTATGCAAAGGGATTGCTGGGTTCCTTCAAATACTTACTCTTTGATGATTTTCGTTAAGTTTCAGGATTTATTTTTTTGGGTCTCTGTTGATTGAAGATCTATTTGCTTAAGATGTTTTTGTTCACAAATTTTTACGCTTTTTGTGTTTGTATTGTACCTGTTGATGTGTCTTTGAAAGGAGAAAATCTCTATCCAGGCTTTTAACTATTACAAAAACAATGAAGAGTTTGGTTAATAAGAAGAATAGTAAATATAGAATCAGCTCTTAATTCAATATTGATGTCTTTGGCTTACAACCAATTGGAGGAGATTTACACTGTTGATTACTATTATTACAAGTTGTAAACCACTATTACTTTGGTTGGTTTACAAGCAATTCTTGGACACTCAAATTAGCTGATGCTGTTTTTACACCCAAGTGTTAAAGGCATTAAAACCAATTTGCAGATATTTACACCAGTAGTTATTAATTTAACACTTTTAAGTCCTGCCCAATCCTACTACCTTACAACCATTTGTTGGACATTGAGCCTTTTTTTTTTTTTTTGGGACATTGGTTACCATACGGGCCTTGTGCATATCCTTATAAATATCATTCATGATGCTGATCCTTGACTTTTTCCCCATAGGCAAGAGTCAGGTGGAATTCCATGTAGGTTTTGATAATACAAGATTAACGAGGGTGATAATTGTTTTTGCAATACAGGGGATGAACGGCATTGGGAAGCAGATAGCGGATATTCAATGATTTTTTTTATTTGAATGATGTAAATTGTGAAACATAAGACACCCATTTACCATGGATTTGGAGCCTGCCGATTTAAACCAGTTGTGCAGATCCAACAACATTTGGTGTAAACTCGTATAATTTCAGTGAGATTATGATTTTTACGCAAATCTAGTTGTATAAATCACAAGCTCAAGTTTTACACAAAGTTGTATGAATTTATACGAATAGTAACATTACTTTAATAATTATTAGATGAATAGTAAATATAGAATCACCGAAGTGGTATGAAAAGCAACATGGTAGGGAAAAGCAACACGCTGGGTTTGATATTGACTCCCTAGACCTCAGAGTTCTAATATGAACTTCTTGTTTCTTATGGTTGTTTGTGAGACTTTTGGCTTCTTCTTTGTTTACACATTATACTCAAAGACGGTTTCATTTTTTCTGTTTATTATTTATTTTTTAATATTCTAGTTTGGGTGTTTATACAGTAAGTTATCTGCTCTTTGTTTGATCATTCCCTATGAGGATATCTACTTTTCATTCATGGGTCGAGTACTTTTGCATGGGTTATTTTATTCTAGTGAAATTCTGTTGTGTGTGTGATATTTCTCCTGGTGACTTTGCAAATTGTGCCATTTCTTTGTGAATACTTTGATGCATTAGTTTTGGGCCTCTTCTCTTGTGTATGAATAGCTTGAATGCATACTCATTTTTCACATATTTTTCTCTGTGCTATTTGCTGAGTCATTCTTTTCTGTGGTTTAATAGGTGCATGATTTTCCCTACCATGTTGCTTTTCACCAAAAAGGGTAATAAATTATGTATTTGTATTCAGTAATTTGATACAGGTAATTTGTTGGGTTTTGGGGGAATATGGAGAATGATTTGCCAACTCATGAAGTCCAATCATGTCGTAAATTGGACTTTGAAGATGTTGACTTACAGGAGATAAATGATAATGTCTTACCTCTTTGTATTACTGATGGCAATCAAGGAAATCAAATTTTTCTTCCTTTGGCTATACCTGATGACTTGGTCCCGAAACTTGACATGGAATTCGATACTGAAGTAGCAGCCAAAAATTTTTACCAAAAATATGCTAAAGCATCTGGTTTTGGAACTCGATTGAGTAAGGGACATAAAGACAAAAATAGTGATTTGATGTTGGACAGGGTTTTTTGCTGCTCCCGTGAAGGAAAAAAGCCAAAAGACAAACGCAATATGATTGTTAAGTGTCCTCGTCCAGAAACAAGATGTGATTGCAGTGCAAGGATGAAAATTAGCTGTAGAAAAGGTGGAAAATACCGTGTTGTGCAATTTGTTGCTGAACATAATCATGAGCTATCAACTCCAAGCAAAACTCATTTATTCAGATCTCATAGACATTTGACAATGGCACACGAAACTGAAATAGATATGGCCCGAAGTTGCGGAATACAAGAACGGAAATAATGATGATAGTGATCAACAAGCTGCTAAAGATGAATGATCAGTGCAAAAAACTTGGATGGTGTGAAGTTATACATTTATACACCTCGGAATCTATCCACTCTTTTCTTTCTGTTCCCTTGTAGAAGAGGGATCATAGATTTTTATACACATCATTCCATTTTTTGTTTTCCTCTTTCTGAGGTTTGAGCATATTGAAATTGATGATTATGCTGCCAAAATTCAAATAATGCTAAAAGTCGTAGAGAAAATGAACTAGAATAAAAAAATTGCATATACAAAATTTATGATTGACGTGCAGGACATAATGAACTAGAATTGCGGAACTCAAACCACAACGTTATGTTTTAAAGCCACAAAAGCAATCCATGGAGACCAAAGCCAATAATTTTCAACTTTGACATGAAATAACATCTTAGCTGCACTTAATCAGACAAGGGGAATATCCACAACACCTTCCCAGATATTTGGGATTTCACTTATCATCTTACAATCAAAGCAAAAGGCTAACGATCTCACACACAATTAACTTGAGTCTGCATAGCTCTAGTCTCTCTCAAAGATACTGCAACAATTATGCTTTAAACACGCGAACATTGAAGGGAAGCATGCCAACCCCTTATTCAGTAATAGTAGTGGATCGAAATAACATGAACCCCTAGAATGCAATCTCTGAAGCAGAATTTACTTCGGAAGTCTCTAGAATGCAAAAGCAAGACATTGTAAATCAAACCAATCGTAACAAGCTCTAGAATGCAATCTCTGAAGCAGAAACAGAAGGAGAGGCTTTGTGCAGGTCAGACACTGCAATACAGCATTGGCATAACAACTGCACAGTAAAATGAAAGAAATCTTGAATATACTTGACAAATAATAAAAAAATCCTATGAAATTTGTTTCAGTACATTATTGCATTAAGAATCTGTACATTTCCTATATATATAAAATTTTTCTAGAGCTATTGATATGTAAAAGCACAAGAAAAGCAGGAAAAATTTTGAAGAAATACCTGTTTCCACAATTTATAAGACCTCTTGGAGACATGTTGAAAACTTCATAGTGAAAGGACTTCACAAAATCTTCATACCGAAATAGCATCTGTAAAATAAAAGAAAAAAATTTATCCATAAACTTTCATGAATGACTAGGCCAAGAATACACCATTTAGATTCATCAATCAAGCAGCTTAAGAACTGGCAAACAAAATCTTTGCTGAAATGTTTCAAACAGATGCATTACTCCTATTTAATATTTTTGCTCTATCTGTTTAAATGATAATAGAATTGCTGCTATAATTCAGACCTTAACTTTCTTCAGCTGCCTGTTGAGTAAGCAAACTAACTCTCTCTTTTTTTTTCGTTGACTCGCTCCATTTTCCCCTCACGATATATGTGACCAGGGGAAGTACAACAAAGACCAGAAACAAAGCTGGTATATCAGTTTCCCTTGGCTAAAGCATGTCCTCACCAAAACAATCATGTCCCGTTTTCCTCTAAAACCTCTTTGGCATAGCAGATCGCACTTAACTACATGTAAGAATTATAGAAACAACACAGAGATCAGCTAAGTAGACCACATCATCAACTTCATCATTCAACTCAATTCACTAATCTGCTGCACATCGTTATATAAGTGAATATCAACCAACCATCAGAGTTAAAGGCTATGACAGCTATAATTTGAGAACAGATTTCAGAAAGGAGTCACAATAAATCCGAATGACAGAATAATGGGCAAAGAAAACTGCGGGAAAACAAAGGCAAGAAAAACCTATGAAAAAATGATTCATGACGCCTAGGCATTTGATCGAACAGGTAGGGAGCTTCGTCCAATTGCCCATTGATCACTCATAACCTGAAGAAAGGGCTCCGGAGAATGACCACGAAATTGGGGTTCCCAATGTTTCTCCACGCTATTAGAGATGCGCTAACCTTGGGATGCTTTACTCCTAACCCCACAAGGTTCCGAGATGGAGCACAACCTGAGTCTCGGTTAAGAACGGCGATTTTTGTGCTTTTACACGGCGCACGATTCCACCATCAGATTTCCTTCGACTTCGTGACGAAGGACATAGCATATGATCATCAGCCGAAATCATGCCACCAGGCATTTGAATTGTGAGTGATATCTGACGGAAGCTTTTGAGGAGGAGTGAAATCTGATGGGAAACCAGAATCGTGGCCTTGTGGGGGGTTTTTTTTGTGTGCCTTGTTTAATCTTTAATTTTGTTTTTTGGGTTTTTAGTTTAATGGATTTTGGTTTTGTGTGATTAAGTTTCTCAACCCGATTAATCGGTTAAATAATTAAACATGATTCGAGTTGGGTTGTTTCAGGATTGGGTTAATAAAAGGACACTTGGCAAGTTTATGAGGGGTGGGATAGGGTGTGAGACAGGATTGTGGTACAGAGGATCCGTTGCGGTCCTAAATCCTGCTGCGTAGTACGCGCTTGGTGCGCAATTATCTTTTACGTATTCAACAGAATCATGTCTGGTAAGTAAAAATGAGTAGTGTTAGCCTAGGTAGCTTAACAATTATCCCGATGCGCTGTTGAAGAATCAATTTGTGATCAAGAACAGAACTGTGCCCACTTCAGCATATTTAGACTCTGCTTGATTATTCAATGTAAAACATTTTCAAAGGAAAATGTCTTCCATGGAAAATTTCATCGAGGAAAATAATTTCTTTTTCCATGTTTTTTTCCTGTGTTTGGGAGGAGATGGAGACTGCAAATTTTTAGCAAGCTATTGCATAAGTGGTGGATTTTGTTCTAAATCTTAAGGCCGGTGGGGGAGCTTGAATGGATAGTCTCACGACTTACTTACGAGGCAGACATGGAAAATAACTTCAGCTTATTTATATGGGAAGTCATTTTACACCATGTAATGTAAAATATTCTCGGTAGGAAAATTTTTTTCCAAAGCAATAACCCAAGTTACCCAACCAAACAACAGAAATTCAGCTGGAAAATGTTTTCCTCCGAACAAACAGACCCTTGGTGATGATTTTACTTCTGCTCAAATTGGGCTGCCCAAATAGGCCCAAGATTATACTGTTATGGAAGGCCTAATTCGAGGATGAGCTGTTGAAGGTTTAGAACTCTTAAAGCCCAATATAAAGGCCTACTGAATGATTTAGTTAACGAAAGTAGAAATAACTTTGGAAGAATTTTGGAATAATTTGTAAAAAATTATTATTTGATTGCATTCTAAATGCATATTTCAATTATCTCTTATTTCACGTATCACATTACAAAAAAAAAAATGGTTATAGCGTTATTTTAAAAAAAGTTTCCAAATATTCCTCTATCCAAACACACTTACTATTAAGAAGAAAGATAAGATAGAGTGTACATTTGATCTAGTGTAAAAGAAGATGAAATAGTAACAATGGTAAGGACAAATTGCTCAATCAATCAATCTTGGCTGCTCCGGAGAGCGTTTAAGGTGTTAGACAGTGGGAAATTCTGGTTTCCATCTTAACCAATCGACAAGAATATCCTCATCGTAGATAAAGCAGGTCATTATCGTTGTTCATTGCTCATCAATCAGCAATCACTTGACACCAACGGGTAGCAAAAAGGGGCTGTGTTTTGCCAACCCATGAGATGAGAAATAAAAGGTAGTGTGTCGTCGTGTTCATCTGTAATTCGAGAGATGCGAGGGGGAAGAGGGGCAGGAGCGGTCATCACCTGAACTGTTCACGATCAAATTTTGGCTAAAAAAAAATACGGTTCAAATCACTAGTAGTATATCGATTTTTATAATATATGTAAAATTCATAAAATTTTATATTAAAATTATATATTATATAAATAAAATTATATCGTATGCAATCAAAATTATGTACAGTTAAAAATGATCATGATCGCCGGGCAACCGGCCTGCCCCTTGTCCGCTGTGAGGGCCAGCTTGTTAGTGCTCCTGTACTTTTCACTTTTGTGCTGATCTGAAGCCAGCGATAATCTTGGGGTGTTCCTTCCTCTCTAAGTCTCGAAATATATGTTTTTCCACGTCATCTCTGCCAATCAAGAGCGATTGCTTTTGGACGGTTCACATCTACTGGCAGTACCATGTAGCATAATTTAAGGCTGGGAATATTATATGTATATGTCACACTCATTATATGTATATGTATATGTTGTTACACTAGGCATAAACCTATCCAGACTATTGCAGATATCGAGTTATCAACCTAAGACTAGAGATGGCTTTGAACAAGGGTGAAGAAACAGTTTCTCATGATATTACCTCCCTCCTTTCTTCACCGGAGAGAGATTTTCTTGTGCGAAATAATGGTGATCAGGTACTTTTTCCTTCGCAAAGGCCCATTTCTTATCTCTCCTTTCTCTAGCCACTAATTATGTTTTATTTCGTTGAGTTGAGTACCTTGTACCAGCTTTTAATAGAATCTTTAGATTGAATCTTCAAGAGCTTGTTCTGAATGCATCTGAAAATAGCATCGTGATCGGTTTTTGTAGGTAAAAATCGAGTCTTTGATTGGAAAGGCAGTCGGATTATATTTCTCAGGTTCATGGTGTGGCCCTTGTCTACGTTTCACCCCAAATTTGGTGCAAGTCTATAATGAGCTCTCCAGTAATGCTGATTTTGAGGTTGTTTTCGTCTCTTCTGATAGAGACGAGGAATCATTCAATGCTTATTTCAAAAAAATGCCATGGCTTGCTTTTCCTTTTGCTGAGTCGGAGACAAGGCAAAGTCTGAAGGAGTTGTTCAAAGTCAGGGGAATTCCGCATCTGGTGATCCTTGATGGGAGTGGGAGGGTTTCTACTGAAGAGGGTGTTAGGATCATCTATGACCATGGTGCTGATGGCTACCCGTATACCCCAGAAAAAATTAATGATTTGAAAGAGGAAGAAGAAAGAGCTAGAAGGGAACAATCTTTAATGTCTATCTTGACGCACGATTCGCGTGACTATCTTATTTCAAATGATGGAAACAAGGTGAAACATGATTTCTTTTCTTGAATTTCATTATTCATGTTTCTGTTTTGGGTTATATGTTGTGGTTTTAGGTAGGTGGCTAGTGATTGATAATTAACGAATCATCATATCCTTTATGTTTTACTAGATTCCTGTATCGGAGCTTGAAGGAAAAACAGTTGGCCTGTATTTCTCAGTGAGTTCTCACAGAGGATGCCTTCATTTCACCGATAGACTCTTAGAAGTGTATAAGAAGCTTAGAGAGAAAGGAGAAGCTTTTGAACTTGTGCTTGTGTCTTTAGACGATGATGAACAAGAATTCAAAAATTGTTATGAACCCATGACATGGTTGGCCTTGCCTTTTAAGGACAAGACCTGTGATAAACTGGTGAGGCACTTTGAACTTGGAACCCTTCCCACACTAGTTGTAATCGGTCCAGATGGCAAGACTCTCCACTCAAATGTGGTCGAATCAATTGAAGAACATGGTGATGAGGCCTACCCTTTTACGCCTGAAAAGTTTGCTAAGCTTGCTGAGATAGAAAAGGCAAAACTTGAAGCACAGACGTTGGAGTCTATTCTTATTTCTGCAGATAAGGACTTTGTCATCTCTAAAGATGGATCAAAGGTAGTAGTGGCTTTAAGTTCTTTAATCAAACTAGAGGTGATCTTTGATTAAATCAACGTTGTCCTGATTGCTTGAAGTTTGTTTCTTCTTAATTAGGTTCCAGTTTCTGAACTCGTTGGGAAGAACGTTCTCCTCTATTTTTCAGCTCACTGGTGTCCTCCATGCCGTCATTTTCTACCTCGATTCATTGCGGTGTACGAGGAAATCAAAGCTAAGGATGATGCGTTTGAAGTAATTTTCATCTCGAGTGATCATAATCAATCATCCTTCGATGATTTCTTTTCAGGCATGCCGTGGTTAGCACTTCCATTTGGTGATGAGAGAAAGGCGCTTCTGCAACGTAGGTTCAAGATCAAAGGCATTCCAGCTGTGGTAGCAATTGGACCTAATGGGAGGACAGTAAGTACGCAAGCCAGGCAGCTTATACAAGCTCATGGAGCAGATGCCTACCCGTTCACTGAGGAGCGTGTAAAGCAATTAGAGGAACAGGCAAAGGGTGGCCTGAGAAACTGAAGCATGAACTCCATATTGAGCATGAGCTGATACTTGCTCGCCGTACTGCATATGTTTGTGAGGGCTGCCAGGAGATGGGACATGGATGGTCTTACCTATGCGATCAATGCAACTTTGATCTCCATCCAAAATGTTCCTCTGAAGAAAGAAGAATCAAAGGCTGATCAAGACAGTCATCCTGGAGGAGAGCCTGGCAAAGCCAAAGAGCGCTATGTATGTGATCATTTAGCATAATAACTATTCTGGCGTGTTAAATGCTGAGACTTGTATGTAAGCATTAACTTATTTGTAATACCAGTAAAGGCCGAAGCTTGTACTTTTAGCCTTCTAGTCCCAAAGAACTGCAGGACTTAATCTTCCGTGGATGGACTGAATTCTCCATTAGAATGAAGTCAGGAATGCAGGTTTAAGATGTACCTTTAGGCCAGATCTAACAGGTACCCATGCTACTTATCCCTTTTTTTTTTTTAAACACTTTTTAGTTCTTTTGCTTTTGCTTTAGTTCTTTCACAGGCTCATGCTAGAAATAGACACTTGAAGGACTGGGAAATCCTCAACAACTCGATGTTGAGAAGAACCTTTAAGCGAAAAGTATTCTCTATTTAGAATTACAGACACGTGTTGAATGGTTTGTAAACGCATGAAAAATACACATTGAATTAAGTTTAAGATTAAACCAGTTCCGTGATGTGCACCAGGATGCTGGCAATGCCATTATTTGTCAATCTTCTTACACCTTTTTAACTAATATTGTTGTTGAAACAGACTAGAAAGTAAGAGGTTGGATGATTATTAGTTTAAAGCTAAAAAGTCAGAATTTGCAAACGATATTGGTGACAAACTGAATGCAGCTTATACTTCGTGTTCCTTCTGAAACCAATGCGAACTGGTCTAGTTAATGAATTTCTATGCAAAACAAAGGGATGCAGGAAAAGTATTAGGAGTGAAGAAGTGCCTCAAAGCAGAGAAAATTACTGTCACTAGCATTTACATTCTCTTGTATCAAGAAAAATCCCCTAGCGGATTAGAAAACCAAACCACTGCCTACACTACTAACACAAGCAACACACTGGTCATGCAGAGAATTCTCGAGGAGATGTAGGAGCATACATCTCCTGTTACTTTTTCTGTTCAGACTTAAGTTTGGCAGCATTGGCCTCAGCAGTAGCTTTCACAAGAGTAGAAGGTTTTATTACACTCTTGGGGTTGAGAGCCTTCCTAATCTTGAACACAGCCCAGGCAGTCCCAATAGCATGCCCTGCGGCACCTAGTCCTTCATGTGTCACCTCCGCTGCTTGTTCCCCATATTTCTGAGAAACAAGGTCAGTTGTTACAATTGCGCTGGTTGACATCACATTTTTCCCAGCAACCTCAACAGCATCACACAACTTGTTAAATCCGTCCAAGGATGCCAGCACAATCTCTCCAGGAAGAAGGCTGAAAAACTTTTTGCCTGCCTTTGAATTTGCTATTGAACTCGTGAAGAATCCAGACACCTTCACAACCCCTGAAAGTATTCCCGTAGCCAATTTCTCGGACATTTTCGTCATCTTCTTGACCCTTTTCATCCTCCTAAGAGCTTCAGAACTGACCTTAGACTCTGTTCCCGCGCCCAGCCTCCTCTTAACGAACTCATTTCCCCACTTCAACCTATCCACGGTAACATCTCCACACCACAATATCCCCTTCACCAGGTGCCCTGATCCTGCCGCTATCATCCTCGCAACACTTCCACTGTAATCCTCCACGTTTGGAGCCAGCGTAGTCCAATACGCAGCAGAGCTCTTCTCCACCAACTCACCCTTCTTCTTATCTCTCTCCATCTCCTCCGGCGAGACATCTTTCGCCACCGCCCACCAGCCTTCAGCCGCCCCTTTCTCCGCCACCTTCTCCACTCTAAATGCACTGTACTTCTCCAATACCCCATCCAACTCCCTCAACAATCCTTCCTGCCCTTTTCCAGCGATTGTCAGCCCATAATTCAAAACATTATCTTCACTCCCCACACCGTCAGTACTTTCGGGTGGGACTCGTAAAGTGAAAAAATAATGGGATTCGTCAAGCTTGACTGCAGCTTCATCTTTAGCCAAGGGCCACTGAATTTCGTCGTCGATCCTAGCGAGCACCGCCACAACGTTATCACCCTGCCGGAGCATAACGATTGAGAGTTGTCCATTTGCCAGCTCAACGCTCTGCTCTTTATCAATCAAATGCAGTATAGCACCTGGGATTTTGACAATTACTTCCTCGGATGACTCAAAAGCTATGCTCCTCTGACTGTCCGGACCCTGCTGAATCTCAACTTGAACGTCGTGGTTGTCGTCGTCCGGAAAGAGATTTTGGGCTAGATCTTTCAAATCAATAGAAGGGTAGATAGATGATGAGGAGGAAGACGAAGTGGGTCTTCTTTGATCTGCGTTCGATAAGAGTTGTGAAGTAGATTCTGGGTTTGATTCGATCACTTCTGGGTAGAGAGACTTGCTTGGTTTAGACATGGTTGATTTCTTGAATTTCCGGAGGAATATTTTGCTCCGAATTCAATTTTGGGTATGTATGAGCTAGATGGAATATTATTGCTTGAGATTTTGCCAAAGGATAATTTTAGCTGGGGCTGTTACTGTAAATGAGGAATTAACGAGTACAATGAGAAATGAAAAGGAGAGGAAAGGGCGAGGAGCGGGGAGTCCGTGTCGGCCTATTCTCTCTTCAGGGTGAAGTCTTGCGAGAATATGAGTTGACATGGCAGCTCCAACTCTCCCCACATGACATGACAGGGGACTGCGTGTTAAAATAAAACACCTGTTCCCCTGCTTATGTTGTCGCAGATTACGACTTAAGAAGAAAAAAAAAATTTTTTTTAATCCAGAACATGACTCGATCCGAGCCCTTTGGACCCGAGCCGACACATCAAACTGAAGGGAAGCCTACACCCCGTATAATTTTTTCGGGCGAATCAAGATGTGCAACGCAGCGGACACAAATCGAACTTTGATCAGTGAAAAAACCAGCAACACAGGACGGATCCCTCAGTCGCTGCGTCATACGCCCTGGGGCAGTAGAAATCTTTTAAGCATCTGTTCTCGTGCGTTGCAGATTACTAGCACTGCGCTGATATTTTGGCTCGCAAAATGACAGCGAAGAAAATTACATTAACGTATATGTTCTCGTGAATTGCAAAATTGCCTTAAAAGTGAGTGAGTGGATGACCCATGACCGGATGTGAACACACTACTAATACTGTATTAATAATCTAATAAAGCGTTTATCAAGAATACCATAACAATAATGGTTTTTCTTTTCCTCACCAGTTGGCAAAAAATTACCCTCACGATGATGAATTTATTAGATGATCATGCAATTGAAGTTTTTGATGTACTTAACTAGCATTAAGGTTATGTTTGAATAGGGGGAAGAAGGTTGGATTGAGTCGTAACGAGAGATAGGATCGTAGGTTCGAGATTGTAAATTCAAAATCTTTCCTTTTTTTTTTAATCGAAAAAAGGTTATACTTGAATGGATGGAAAGTTGTGTGGAAAAGTAAACTACAAGAAAATGAAATAAAAGGAAAATGAAAAGTTCCTATTTCTGTTTGGCTACTTAGAATAAATTTGAGCAAAAACAATAAGTTAATGATGATCAATGACAGTTATTCAAATTCTTCTACCTAGCTAACCATTTTTACTTTAACGTGCTGCAAATGTTGTGGGTCACTTACCGTAGAAAAAATGCAAGAAAAAATTTTCAATTCTCTTGCCATCTAAACATACACTGCAAAGGAGAATATAACTCACTTTCTTCAGTTTCTCGCACTTTTTCATGCAACAAAAAACTACTTAACACTTGTCCAGTCCTCGAAAGTCATGACACGAGAAATGCCTGATCTTATGATGTTGATATCATTGAGAACTAGAGAAAAATGGAAGGTAAATTTCCTGCAAATTAGGCAGGTGGTAGGAAAGACAATAAATTGACGGATCCACAATTGAGCAAGTAGCATGATTTTCTTTCAAAAGGGCCACAACCGCTGAACAAAAGAAGAAAGACTATTGGATATGCCTTTGGATCAACTAGTTATGCCTTTGGATCGGAGGGTCACCGCTGGATATTTATAACTGGCTGGCATAATGATGGGTCCTCATTAGGTAACTCAAGTTCAGCTGACGCTGTTTACGGATGGAATGTTTGCGCTGAAATGTGGGCTGGACTTCCAACTCAGGTGCTGAGTTTTGGGCCTTGAGAGATGCCTTCTCCGTTTCTGTCTCCCTCGGGATAACCCACTCAGCAATTGAAGTTGACGAGCAAATACTTCTTGTTGTCTCCAACCCCGCCTAGTTGTCTCTTCTTTTGTTTCATGTTTGGTGTTGATTGTCTCTGCATTTTTGTCTGTTTGCAGGATTTTGATGGATAAATTTCAGTCCGCCTCTATTGATATAAGCGTTAATTACATTTCAATTATGTTTATCCGTCCAAACTCATCATAATCCAATTATGTTGATACGTACAAACTCATCTACCAATAAATGGATTTGAATATGCAATGAATTTCTAATGCGTGTAAATAAATACCCAATTAAACCTATGTAATTAGTGGATAGTGGTTGATTTGGCTCATCCATTTATATCCATTTTAAAATAATTATACATTTAAAATTAAGTTTTAGTGGGTGTTAAGCAGATAAATTTGAATTTTCTACCAAACTAATATCAATAAAATATCGTTATCCTTTGTCAAACAACATGCAAAAAAAAAATGAATAAGTACAATTTCAAATGAGTAGTAAATGGGGTGATTAAATATATCATACGTGTATAAATAGATTGACCCATTTATTTAATCATTATAAATGAGTTAACCCAATTACATCTATTACTCGATTATAATTCATTCGAATCACACATTTTCACACCTATATCTATCAAGCACATCTGTATATATATTTTTACGAAAACGTTAGAAATATTATTGATATAAAAAACAACCTATAAAACTTGAGCAAATGCCCATATTGAGCATTACAAGAATGTTTTTAGACGTTGAGGATTTAGATATTCCTCACCTTGGGCTAACTTAGTAGCATAAGCACTAATCCTTCTACTTATCATATTACATTCGTAATCTATCCAGCTGAATGAATGAGCATTCCATGGACTACTAGCAGTGTCAAATTTTGAATAATTCCATTGGATGGGGAACGTCAACAAATCAGGTGCATGGCCCCACACCCGGCCGTGTCCACTCCTCAGTTTCAGCGAATTTAGAAGTTTCAAGTTTCCCAACTTTAGAAGTTTCATAAACATATGTAGAAGTTTAGTGTTTTGATGGGTCAAAGTCAATCTTTGTAACTGCATGCTCGAGCCGAGGTTTTGACCGGCGAAGACGAAAACTCAAAGCCGCTAGATTGCAATTTTTTTGGATTTGTTTTTCGTAAAAAAATTACTGTAATTATTTGATTTATGTGAGATAAAAAATTGATAGAAAAATATATTCACGAAAGACGTAACAAATTTTTCACGGAAAATGTCTGTCCAAACACAGGCAAAGCTCTTCTAGCTGGAAGCCTAATTTTTTTTCCTTTCTTTTTTTTTTTTTGTGTAAGAAAAATATGAAACTCTTTTTTTTTTTTCGCTTAGAAAACATAAATACACAATGCCTTTATGATTAATTGTCCCTGGTTTGTTTTTGCTTAAAATTTCAGTGTGTCAGCACTGGTGGATTGTCTCGGTGGGTACTCAGGCTGGAACGGTTGTCAGCGCAATCGTTTTGAAAGCTTGTGTGTAAAATGTATATGGTGTAACATCATTTATACACGATGTAACGCTAGAATAACAGCGAGTAACATTAAAATAACATTTTGTGGATCCCATATATTTAAATCTGGACCATACAAATTTTGTTGGCCAAATCTTGACCATTGACTGGTAGGGCCGGTGGTAATTCTCCGACTCGGTGGTGCCACCTGACCACCACCAAGTCAATTACTTTTTTCTTCTTATCTTAAATATACTCTCTATACAAGAATAGTAGTAGTAGCTCTTTGGTGGATTGGATGCTGCCTCACGTGTCCTGCCAATTATCTTCTCAAAATCTCGGTGCTCTATTTGACTAATTCAATTGATTAGGCCAACTCGTGATCCTCTTGGGAAAATTTTGACTTGAACTTGCCGAGAGAAAATTTTTGACTTGAACTTGCAGTTTTTTATAACCAAGCGCTGTATGCAATTTGAGCCTTGATTCTCTGTTTTTGAGGGAAGTCTTGATTCTGTTGGACATGCATGTAATTAATAACCAAGCAATCTCTATGTCAATGTAATTAATAACTGGAGTCTCGAAGAATCAAACGTCACTTTTGATTTTCATTCTCGTACATGGGAGCATGATTTAACCAATTAGAGTATCCCTTGGTGCGTCTGGTACAATTACACTAGTTATCTATCTATTGATGTTCTGAACAAAACAATCATGTCACGTGTGTTTGTACAGAGTAGTGTATTTTTTGAAATAATTATTATAATATTTTTTTAATATGATATATATAAAATATAAAATAATTTAAAATATAAAAAAATAAATTAAAAAATATGTTTATAATACACGAGTAAAAAATTATTTAAAATAATTCACATATTTAAAGGCTCACACAACAGCACAAGTTACTAGTACATGACTAGTCTCTCAAAAGTCAGACTTTGACCTCAATCAATAGGTGGTGGTGGAGACTGGAATATGCTTCAGCTTCACACGTGGGCAGCTGAGGGGATGAAGCAATGTTGAAATAGGAGAACCGCGTTACTCTTAATCATCCACCATCAATCGAAAACGAAAGCCAAAGAATTTTTCTCTCTCTTTAACAATGCTGCGCTGCTGCACTGCCACTGCACAATTCGAGACAAATTGCAAGACGGCAACATTACCACACATGTTTTTGTATGTTAAATTAACGAGTAATTTCGCCATTTACAACGTGAACGCGGAAACCTTTTTGCCCCACCGGTCATTTCCTCTCACTTTCTTCTTCTTCCCCTTTTATTATTATTAGTATTATATTTTGCTTGCCATCCAAGCTCCCTCTTCACCAGAATCTAAACAGACAAAACACACACCACCAAAATTGACGGACCCTCATTGATTTCATCTTCTTTTCTACTTTGATGATAAGTCTATATAGGGCCAGAGAAAAAGGAAAATGACTTGGCCGTTGGCCTGTTTAATGTTTATACGCTGTTGTCAGGTATGATACTATTCGGTCCAGGTTTACAACTGATCCCGTCAAGTCTTCTCAAGCAGCGCGGACTCAAGAGTTACCGACTTTTGAGGTTTCTGTCAAATGTAAAAGTTTTCACTGGCTTTAAAAAAAAAAGACAACTGGCCGTCCGGGTTGAGTGAATCCTCTTTAGGATTTAGTAGCAGCTCGCCTGCTTAAACTAGTTATCCAACATCGATGAGTTGGGGGGTTTGGGTAGTTGATAAGTCTCCTCAGAAATTTCAAGAGTTGCCGATTTTTTAGGTTTCCTACGAATTTAGGTTTGTCAAATGCAAAAGTCTTCACTGGCTTTGAAAAAAAAAACAGCGCGGACTATTGTGGACGACATTCTATGTTTATATATAGGTCCTTTTTTATGTAATTGGATTAGTAGAATTCAAAGCCATGGCTCAAATTCATATGGATAGCAATTTTTTTTCGGAGTTTTGAAAATTTTTGTAAAAAAAATTACTATAGCAATTTTTCGAGACATATTGTACGTGAGATAAAAAAAAAAAAAAAGTCAAGCAAAAAGTTAAGAAAATAGTTTCAAAAAATCTAAAAAATAGAAAATTCCAAGAAGGTTCAAACCAAACAATGCCTCAAGAACTTGCACTTACTCATTGAGTGTGTTTGGACAGCCAATTATTTGGCCAAATATATTTGCTGACATCACCATTACAATTTTCAATACACCTTTTTATCTTCCCAATTACCTTTTTATCTCACATACATCACATCACAAAAAGTGCTACAGTAAAAATATTTCAAATAACTTACAATCCAAACACACTCATGTCTTCACCTAACACAAAAAGATTTTTTTTTTATCATACACAGACAGACAGATAAATAAATAAAATAACTGAACTAGAGGATGACTCTATAAGAGGTTTTTGACAAGAATGGATAACGGTAGAAAGGAAAAAATTGAAGCCAACCATGCAACAAGTCGAAACTCAACACTAGAAAATGGTACCGAAATGCCCTATGACTAGGCGTTTTTCATTTGTTTGAATCATGGGAGAAGCCGTAGCAATTTCTTAAAAGTCTAAGATGGACGAGACGACATTTTGAGCAAATGAGGATGTTGCGACATTTCCATATCAAAAACTTGCATATAGTTGACATTTAGCTCAAATCACATTAGAGAAGTATATGTTTTTACATTTTGTCATGGATGATGTGTGTGAGAAAATCAAAACCGCTACATTTTCTATTTTCTTTATTTTTTTTTTGTTGATAAGTCTAAGCCCTTTAATTTTCAAATGCGAAATCATGGTCCTATCCTTTTTTTGAAAAGAAATTATGGTCCAATCTAACAAGAAATTTCCTCAAGTGCATCATCTTTAATGTCGAAGCTTAAAAAATTTAAGCTTCCAGAATGGTTGTAACTGTCAATGACGTGCCAAATTAATCTCATCCTAATTAAAAAAAAAAAACACATTAATCATCTCACTCAATTGAATTTATTTTTAGCACACAAAAATATATACATACATATATATATATATATATATCTATAAAACAATATTTAATGTCAATTCAAAGTTTCAAACTTTGCAAGTAACAGACCGACCAATCCAAACTTCGTACCTTCCTCCCTAAATTTCTTTACTTACGTGTGTAGGCACAACTACCAACCTCCACCTCCCCATTTATACCACCCTTACTGACCCACTCATCTCTCCCCCTCATTATTCTCATCCCTCTATCCTCTTCTCTATCTACTACTGCTGTATAACAAACAGAGAATCCTCCTCCAAAACTTCTCCATAATTCCAGCAAGAATCGCTCTTACAGAATCTTAGGAAGCTACAGAAAGAAACCAAAGATGCAGAGCATTACTCAAGAGTTCGAAAAGCACCTGAAGCTCGACGAAGAAGATGGTAAAGAAAACGAACAAGAAATAGAATCCCACGGTGAAGATTACGAAGATTATGATGATGATGAAGACGAAGACGATTTTTCTTTTGCATTTGATGGCGTAAATTTCTCAACTATTTCAGCTGAGGACGCGTTTGATAACGGTCAGATCAGGCCGGTCTACCCCTTGTTCAACCGGGATATTCTGTTGGGTGGTGGTGTTGGTGACGGGCAGGATTTGGAGACTTTAAGGTTGAAAGATCGTTTGCCCAACGTTAAAAACGTGTTTGTAGAAGCTGAGGATGATGGTTTTCAAGCAACGACATCGTCCTCGACGGCCGATGAGGAAGCAGTGGGACCCTATTGTGAGTGGTCGAAGAAGGTGGTGGAGGCGCTGACGCCGAAGGGTTGTAAGAAGAGTAGCTCAACGGGGTTTTCGAAGATTTGGAGGTTTAAGGATTTTGTGCATAGGAGTAACAGTAATGGGAGAGATGCGTTTGTCTTCTTGAACCATCCGACGCCGTCAGCGGCGGCTCCTTCTGCTGCGGCGGTGAGCGCGAGGAAGGAAGAGAAGGCGGCCGAGGGTGTACTGTTGAAGAAAGTCGACGGGAACAATGGGGGCGTTGGAGTGGAAGCAAAAAAGGTGAAGAAAGTGAAGAAGAGTAAAACGGCGGCGTTATCGCCTCATGAGGTGTATATGAGGAGTAAAGCCAAAGAAGGCGACCGCCGGCGTTCGTATCTCCCTTACCGGCCGGAGCTTGTTGGTTTGTTCACTAATGTCCATGGTGGTGGTCTGACAAGGAACGTGCATCCCTTCTAATCGCAAGAATTATATATATATATCTATATAGGATTTTTTTTTTGCTATGTTTTTTGTTTAATCTGCTGAGTGTAAGTTAAACACTCCCCCCATTCATTGATTTGATTTTCTTGTATCTACCTAAATTATGTTTTCGTGGAATTTTATAACCACTGTCTAACTTTAGTAATAGGCCTAAATCTGAAAAACTCATCACTGATTGAGTTTATGTAAATCTCCGATTGTATTAGTTGTGTCCTCTGGCATTTTGGCTTTATGCTGTTTGCTGCCATCAGTTGAAGAGGCTTGAAGCACGGAAATAAGATATTTCATTCACAATTCACATTTTAGGTATATGTTGAATTTGTCATCGAGATTTGTTTTTGGGGGTGGGGGCGGGGGGAATTTGGGTTGTGTCCTGGAAAGAGGTGGGGAGGTTGCGGGAGACAAAAAATGAGTTGGTGGAACACAATTTTGGCATGGATTCCTTGTGAATTTCGTAGAAGTTTAACGTTGTAATCTTGTGAGGCCAATGGCAACAAGTATTGCCAAATTGTCGTTTGTAGATGCATGCAATTATACGGAGGAGTTCTTACAGAGAAATATATTGATACACGTGAGGTGAGGTGAGGTGAGATAAAAAGACGATTGAAAAAAATGTTTTGATATACATGGGATGAGAAGTGATTGAAAAATGTAAAAGTTTTCTATTAGAAAATCACAATTTGTTGGTGTATTTGCTTATGTTGAAGTTTAATCTGAAACAAACAACTGTTTTGTGGAAAAAAGGGTAGGTGAGTGGAGATGAGATAACCTCCAAAGTTGGGAAATTGCTCTTTTGAGATGCATATACTTCTAAATTTGTAACATACAGAGGTAGATTGGTTCGAGGGTTAATTGTTGAGCACCTACAAAACTTGGAAATGGACCAAAAAAGTTACTGGAGAAATATGAAACTTTGGATTCTACTGTTTGAGAGTTTTTAAGCAAAAATAGCATTGTAGTATTTTTTGAAATGTGATGCAAGTAGAAAATGTGTTAACCATATATACCCAAAAATTTCAAAGAAAGAAAAATTCTTATGGATTATGGTCGTTGGCCTATTTGGCTTCAGGATTTGTTCCAAGTTCACGATGATTGCAGAAAAAGCTTTGGTACATTATTGTTCCATGGTTCACGGGCTCCCTGGCTGAATCGTTCTGCTCCGACCATTGCAGAAAAAGCTTTAAATCTCAAAGAGAAAACCAGAGCAAAAATGTTACGATCATTTCAATTCAACATCACGGGGAGACGGTCCCAACCCAACCCTTTGAAGCTTGTACAAAACCACCACAAACTAAGCGCTTATTGTTTTCCGGTGTCATGGGCATCACATCTTTTAGAATTTATATTTACGTCCCACAAACATTCAAATGTAGACAGACAATTTCTGGGATTTCAGCAGATAACAATTAACTCTCTCTCTCTAGAAGGAAAAATGCAGGCGGGGTAGACATAAGATGAAGGTTTTGTTTATCAGCAAGGAGGCCACAAACAAGACAAATAAATTGCTAATACAAATTGAGTTATATTGTTGAAAAAACTAGATCATGGCTACAGTACCACCGAGGCACAAATTCTTGGTCCTACGGCACAAGAGGCCAGAAACATCAAATCAAGTGACGAGGAGGAAAACAAAGAACACCAAGAAGTATCCAGGGAAGAAGACAAACACATGTTACACCACGATAAAAAGTTCCATTCCTCAGAAACTTTCTGAAAGCTTCAGCTACATTGTAATATACACACAAATCAAGTTCACTGCCATCTTAAACATAACACACCACACACAGAAATAACACACCACACACAGAAACGTGCCCTTCTGAATGTAACCACTTTCTTCCGCATTCATCCACTTTTCTTTTTAGTGTTTGATCATATGTATCCTGTCCTGCACCGTAGTCTGTTTTTGAGTATTTTAATACTCCACAAAACATAGAATGAATGACGAAAGAAGGCAAGATGTCACGGCAGCCTCATCGTAAATCACATACTTCCAATCTCAGATTTGGATTCATATACACATTGGAACAGTTCTCATATATGGAACTTCCGTCAGCTGGTTGTGCATGAGAATGAAATCCCTTCTCTTTGCACTCCTTCAGGATGCTCATCCCAACAGGGTCAGACAGTCTAAATACGCCATATTTCCTGAGACATATATATATATATATATATATATATATATATATATATAACGATCAAAACCTCATTCATGTGAGTTAACATCCAAGAAAGTTTGCACATTGCACCTTAACTTTGTGAAAGTGGGATCTAAAAGGTGTGGGCAAACATCCAATAAATCAACCAAGTCCAAGTTTCATATTGAAGTTGGTTCTGTGAATTTCTCTTATTCATTATCCCGTATGAATTATGGCGAGTGCTTGTTAAGTCTGCCTTTTATGCTTCTGCATGCAATTTGTTGCGTGAAATAGTATTACCTCCAAACTCAAAACTGAAAATCCAAAATATTCAATCAAGCATGCGACTTCCTTTCCTGAATAGGACTAATCAAAGAATGAATGTAACTTTTGACTGATAAAAAGTGAAACGTGCCAGTGTGACGAACATTTATATTCATGAAAAGAATCTGCAGAAAACCTCCATTGTTGATGGTTCTTTGGACGAGTTTGCAAATCTGTGATGGACTAATTAGATTACCTTGACTCGTCATTTGGAGCCAGAACAATGCCAACAGCCTCAGGTACCATAACCTTAAAAGTTTGAAAAAAAAATTAGAAATTGACAAAATTTACCAGAAGCCTGAAAAAGAACAAAATACAAAATACAACCAACGGATACATCTCTTAGCTAAAGTTATAACGCTATTGGTAGCCCAAGACACTATCAGAAAGTAAGCATAGCCTCTTTTTGGTAAAATAAGCACATATCTACAGATACGTTAGCATATTTACTCCAGAAGGATCCTGCAGTTTCCAATACCTGTGGAGTAGTTTTGCAGATTATTTAAAAAGATTTTGGTCAATAGATCTTTACAGAATATTGGGAAGTAAACTACAGAATTTCAAAGGGTCTCCAGTGAAGTAAAACCAGCCGAATGTACCCACACCAAAAAAACAGCACCACAAAACTTGAACTTACCTACCTGATATGAATATTGAGTGTGCAAATCGACTGATGACATGAAGCAGCTTTGGGAAGGATGCGTCTGAAGAAAGAATAATAGATCCATTTATTCTTAGAATAGAAAGAGATCTATCAAGCGGATAATAATTTCCAAAAACCAGAAGTATGAATGAAATCAAAAGAAAAAAAAAATCCAGTATTAATAGCCAATATACACTAAAAAGCAAAAAAGGAAACACAAACCAAAATAGCACGATGTAAGCAAAAGCTAGTCGTCAACAATCCAACCAAGCCAGATAGGCAGCTTAACTGGTCAACTGCCATTTGGTTCTGTCCAGTTTATGCGGTATGCAAAATAAATGTTTAGAATTTGATACTGAACTAATCTGAGTGCTATTTGGTTCTGTCCAGTGCATGAGAGATACAAAAAATGTTTAAAATTTTGATAGTGAACTAATCTAACCAGTCTAGTTTCTATCAGTTTGGTAAAATTTAACAGGTTTCCAGCTTGTCCAGTTTTATTTGGATCAAACTGACAACAGTTTCTGTCATTCCAATCAAACCTGAAATTCTAGTTAGTGGTTAATAGAAATGCAAAATCATTGGGCATTTTGTAAGGCAACAAGCAAGCTACAGCAAACTTCTAAGTATTGAACTGGAAAACCAAGCATACATGAATCCATCCAATCGGAACAAGGGACTGTTGACTTTGTATGGCAAATATCTCCTCCTCATTTAAAGCTTGACACTGTCAAGGATGATACCAAATTAGCAGCTTGAACACAATGCTGCGAAAGAGACCACTGAAAATTCGAAATTCAAATCAAATACGATGTAATTTAAGCATCAAATAACTTACAGAGTTGGGTGTGGATTCTTGTTTAGGCACTATCAAATTGGTCACATAGATGTTCCTCTCTTCCTGCACAAATTTTGATAAGAGCAGGAGACTACTACTCAGTTGAAGATTCTTTTTCAAGTAAACAAAGATCCTCAAGCAGGACAGCTGATAATTCCATAAAAATGTCTTCTAGAGCCAAACATTATGCCTCATGTGCCTCGAAGTACACCACGAGATGCTTAAGTGGTATTATATGGGACAGAAGTTACAATTAGCATTAAAAAAATGAAAAAAAAGCTCTGTGTATGTTTGAAAATGAGTGCAAAATAATGTGATCTGAGTGAACAAAAAGAGTATAGATTAACTGAAAGAGGTCATCGACCTACTTATATAAAAGCCATGTGAAGAATTTCCAGAGCTTCACATGCTGGAAATATGCAGTCATGATAGAAGATGGCCAAAATTAACATAGATCTTACAAGGCAGGCACCAAGAACTCCACAGGTCTCTAAACTGTTTTTGGTGTTCTCAATCGCAAGGTCAAGAAAATCTTCCAGCAACCTAGCTGACTGAGAAAACCAGAAAAGTGTCGGATCAACAATTGCTCTAGTTAGTTTCTTGCTCCTCCAAAAAGAAACACAATGTTAATTATTTGGGATTGGAGAATAGAAAAATTAACGAAAAACAACACTTGGAAGGCCATAACTCAGGCAAATAGGTTATATTCCAATACCAAGATAAGCAAGGTAGTAGTTTTATGGTCCTTACAATGTGTACATCTTTGAGGGAATTGCAATCTGCTGGCTTGTTGATTGAAGATTCCGGATAACCATCTAGTGGAGCAGGACTACCACTGAAACGTGAGATTTCAGCCCCATGAGGCACAGTATGTGTAAAGGAAACACCAGTGGAAGGAGAATTTATTGTGACGGTATGCACATCAATCTGGCCAAAAACTCCAGCAGCCATGAAAATATCAGGGACACAGTCAGCTGAAACCAGATGCTACCAGTGCCAAATTTTGCCGAAGATACCTAAACATTGACAATAATGTGTAACTAAAACTAAACACACAATGGGTATTCCACTATTCGTTAATAGCCATTCAACTTTATGAGAATCGAGCAACCAATTACACCAAACTCTACACTGACTACCTCAAGTTCGCAAAATTAAGAGCAGCAAAAACAGTAACACTATGACATCACTTGGCTTCACCTATTGAAAACCGTTTGGCAATCAGAACTGAGCAAAAAATAGCGAACTTTACCATAGGAAGCACTATCAAGACAGTAGCTTTCTGACTGCAGTTCGGTAATCTCAGCTTAGACAGCAAAATCATTGTCATAACATCTGTAAAGAAACTCAAGGTTTAAGCTGCTTATAACAACTAGCATATCAACCTAAGCTGGTTCTTACACTTTCTCATTGCTTTACATCAATATTTACACTTTCTTACACTTTCTCATTGCTTTACATCAATCAAATGTGCCCACTTCGTGATTATCCACGTCTATAAAGATCAAGTTTTTAATACCCACCTCGGGCACCTAATTTTAGAGGATCCAGCAGTAAAAATGCCTACTGTCTAGTCTTGCCTTTCAAATTTTCTTACCTGTTCTCAAAAATGAAATGATTCATAGCAGAGTCACACACCCACTATAATGATAAAAGGATTCAAAATTTGCCAGCCTCAATTTCGCATGCTCATAAGTGCATATATAAACATCATGCTTTGACATTTAAACAATCACCAGTCGACTTTCATTCGAAAAGCTATGCATCCACGAGTTTGTTCAGCTGAAAGTGAAATTGATTTTTCCCCCCTTGTTGAAAGGATCAAATTTCCAGCTATGTAACAGCAAATATTTTACCAAAAAAATAAGCATCAACCCTATACTCGTTCAGAAGCCGTATTTTATTAAGTTCATAAGGGTTATGTCACACAATATTGCCATGATCTCTTTCAAAACTTTGCAGTTGGCCCTATTAAACAAGTCGTTAATAAACAATAACAGTTGTTTGGAAGAGCTGTAAACTTCACATAGACATGATCAAGAAAGAGAGAGATGAACCTGGGCCAACAAGGAATGAGTTCAGTCATCAACTATCAGCTCTGGAGTCCAACATTAGATTTTTTTTGTCTTTATTCTTAGGGTCAATTTCAGAAACCTCCCTGAGGTTTCTAATAATTTCACTGGCCTCCCCTAAAGTTTATAAAATTACACAAACCTCCCCTAAAGATAAGATTTTGATAACAAAATTAGTACAATTAGAAAAAATAATATTAAAAAAATACTTTAAAAAGAGAGATGAAACTTCTATTCCATAATACGCCTTGTGCATGTATATAAGTTGTGTTAGTAAAAGAATAAAAATAATTAGAAGCTAAAAACAATTAATACACATATTTCACCGTTCAAAATGTTCATATTTAATAATTAAATAAAACAAATAAGCAACGAAACTACTAATAATCACAAGATTTAACAAAGCAGACTAGTAATATCTTTTAACATGATGTTTGTCAGCGCCTTCTTCTAACATCTATTCTATCGTTACATAATTGATTATATAACTATAATAAAAAAAAAAAAAAACTTGGACAGCTGTATTTTTGGGGGCCTTGGATGGACTAATCAAGCAACGACAATTGCCTTCCTTTTTTACCTTTTTTTGTTTGGGTACATCAGAAATTGCTCTAACAACTCAATTGCTCAGTTGCACAGTGCATTCTATACTAATGTTCACATTTACATCTTTTGAGTATTGACCTGTTGTTTAGGCCGCCTCCAGCGTACCACTTTCCAGAAACTGCCCTAACAACTCAATTGCTCAGTTGCATGGTGCATTCTATACTAATGTTCTCATTTACATCTTTGAGTACTGAACTGTTGTTTAGGCAGCCTCCAGCATTCCGTGAAGGTTTCGTTGGGACTTGTTCCACTAAATGATGGGCCTTCAAATCAGCAAAACCGTCCTTCCTATGACTCATAAATGCTCCCAAAGCTCCAAGAAAACCCTCGTGTCTCAAAAACATTGCTTTTGCCTCACCGTTGGACCTGCAGGAAGCCCATTCATGAGAAACAATAATGACTCGACCTGCAAGAAGTACATTCATGAGAAACAATGAACACTTCCCTAACGATGGAGCTTCTTGCAGCGTTGCAGCAACTTACGTTTTGAAAGAAAGTTCAAGCAACGACATTAAATAGCAGGTACCAAAAGTTTTTGGGGTCAAGTTTTGAAGTCAAGCAGGTTAGTTACCAGAAATTGACTCCCACAGAAATTGTGTCCATCGTGTAAGCATGACCCCGAATGAAAAACCCACCGAAAAATATTCGCTTCAGTCCAAAACGAAGAGCATTCAAGTAAGCAATCTGGGGGAAGAAATATTAAACACAAATCAGAAATTGTACAATAACCAACAATAGGACATGCAGTCATATCACTTCTTCTTCTTTTGGGTATTGTGTTTTTTTTTGCCTGAAATAAAAAATTCATTTCCAAAAATCTGACAGCCACAACTTGATATACTTTGGTAACCATGAATACAGCAGTAAAGGAATATCTTCCAAACACAGCTCCAAAATTTGGTCGAGGTACTGTTATACCCTGCCTGACTTTACTTGGAGAATACAATTCAATCAGTAGCACAAAAGTAAACCTCAGAAAGTCATTGAACAAGCAGTTGCCACCATTGAGCATTCTCAGCAATGAAAAAGAACAATTGCGATGGGGCAAAATGTCACATTAAAGCAATGGAAATTTATAGTATGTATAGCCCTCCACTACCCTAGGGATTTTTCTCAATAAAATGGCATTGTACCTACTTGATTAGCTGAGTGATTAACGTATAGGTTTAAGAGTGTGTAGTAGCCTCCGTGTTCAGGACTACAATATGCATTACAATTCCACCAAGTTACCATCTAAGTCTAACAGTCAAATAGTCTGACATTGCTATTGTCACAAGACAGTTTATCTATGGCTTGTCACAAGCGCTTCAGATTTTTAGTATCAAAAGAGAACCTGTTTTGCTGCTTCTGATATTCAGCTTTTTTGCCTACAGAAAAGCTAAAAGCAGGTTTTAAAAGCAACTGATAACAGAAAATAGCTTTTTTAGAATCAAAAGCTAAAATTAGGTGTTAAGAATCATTTGCCAACAGGCAGTTAATTTCTTTCCCTTCTCTATCCCCCAGTATCCATCATTTCTTTTCTTTAAACGACAGAGAGAAATGAAAGGACAAAGAGGAAATGAATATGACCACTTCCTTCGAAACTAGTGAAAATGGCTCTTCTAATTTGGAACTGAGAAAATAGTAAGGGGAATCTTTTTTGCGGCTAACTAATCACATCGTATGTAGCTAAAAAAAAAAAAAGAAATACTATAAAAAATTGAGCATATGCAAAAATAGTAATCTAATTACTATTTTTAAAGAGAAGATAAAGGTCTGATGAAGATAAATCAAGAGTTCTAGGAGAAAACAAACACGAAGCCTGTAATCTTTCTCTAACTTTCATGCAGTGAACGACCTAAAAAAAGAAGACTTTGCAAGCCTCTTATCTCACCTGTCCAATATTGTTTGAAATCATTCTCAAGAGAGACCGTGCCACATCTTCAGGTTTGTACTCTTCAAGGTCTTTATCTTCGGAAACTGCCTTTCCAAAGCTAGAAGCAATTGCTGTGGAAGAAAGTCCAATCTACCACCATGACCAAGAAAAAAATGTCAATAGTTACAATTGTTGAAAGCCACAAGTAATCACCAAGAATAGAATTCAGAAAAGGTCAAAATATTGATTCTGTCTAGAGGCACTTTGCTACGAGCACGAATTACTTGCTTCATAATGTAAATAATGAAATTCATATTTTGCAGTGGCAATTATCACATAGATGCCCCATATCTTTGGTGACTATTCAATCCTGTCAAAATGGTTGACCCGTCAGCTGATTAGATAACACATTATTATAATAAGGCTAAGAGACATAAGAACCATGTACATACTCTGTCCAATCTACAAGGTATATGTTGCTCAAGGGCTATGCCAAGAACTCCAATTTTTGGGAATCATATTAGTGCATCAGTTTTTAGAGGTTCAACAACACAAATTTCTCACATAATTCTCAAGTTTCTTCAGACTCGAGATCTTCTTTCAATGAATTTGCTTAAAGCACCAAAAAAAAAATAGAAAAGAATATAGATAAAGCATTAAATACCTTGGAATAGTCCATTCCACCATAGATGTCTCCAACAAGCATATCTATTACTCGGTTGTTACCAGAATAACTCAACCCCAGCAATTCATCAAAGCTGAATGAAGATACAACAACGATTGTTGGGATGGATGATAACGAAAAATTACAGAAAAGCACCACCTTAAAATATCTACGAGGCCGACCTCTTGCACTTCGTCAAAAGTTTTCCCAGCCCCCAGAAGGTGCCACCTCCAACACTAGTTCCACTAACTCGCTCAAATTTCCCATCTCCATCAACCTAATCAAGTAACAACATGCAAACTAATGAGAAATCCAAAAGAAAATACTAATGAATGTTTAGCTGGATGTGACTTTCAGAGCCTGTAAGATTGCCTATTCAATCTTACACACGAAAGATGGAAGTCGCTCTGCCCTGATACATAAATGCAGATATTTACAATATAGAAGTCTAGCAGATAATGCTTTTGTCTCTTCAATTTGTATTTAAGGCTCCTTGTTGGACCAAAGACAAGAGGTCATGATCTCAATCGCTGTTTGTCTTGCTTTCAATATGCAAGTGAGTCTCAAACCAATCAGCTAATAATTACCTACAAAAATCCCAGAGATGTCTTGCTTTCTGATGAACTTTTATGTCTACGACTCTATGTTCCTATTACTATTTAACAGGATTTAAAGAGTAGCCTATTTGCAAATTCCTGCCATGTGACCTAAAGTGATGTAAGCAAGTTGAAGGTGCAAAACTGAAATATACATGTTGTCGAGGATGCTGTTACATTAAACATCCATAAGTTACCATTTCTATTCTTCTTCCCTCCACTTCAAAATTACTTCCTTCAGTTAAAGTAAAATTCGCCATCATCATAACCTAGGGAACTCACCTTGATCATGCTAACACCGGACCCAATATTGACAAGGAGATAAGGGTATAAATCATTCTGATCAATCTGCACGTACTCCTTCTGACCATCCATGTATGTATAAGCTTCAAGGCTGGCTGCCTGTTCAACGAGAAGGCAAAACAAATAATATGTCTGTCATCCAATCGTCTATGAAGCAACAAAGATATTCAACAGAACTGATGTGTCTATTAGCTCCCAGCACTCATGGTAAGGAGGTCAATAAAGAAGGCTACACGTGATGATACAAATCAAAGATGTCCAAAATCTTAGAGTACAAGCTCAAGTAAGGTTAGCTGAAACACATAGAGCTTATAAAAACAGGAAATTATCCTCAATACAAACCACTTACTACAGATTGACTTAAGAAAAGAAATGGCATGCAGAAGCAAAACTATCAAGTATATGCATACACACTTCTCTTTTGTTACCTGAAAAAAGAATATTAATCATAAACATATCTTTGTACTCTAGGAATCCCACCTTAAGCAAAAAATTTGCACCAGCAACAAGAGAATTCATTTCATCAACCTTGTCCAGAGTCATTCCAAGCTTTTCTTTGAAGAGATCAGCAAACTTAAAAGCCCCACCTCCTGTAGCCTTTAAAGGAATTGTAACTTGTTATTCAATTAATCTTTCATCTTAGATGATCTCTTAGGACGAGGGGAAAAGGTCACAGTTCCATGCATGGTAGAGAGAGTTGCTTTACCAATATTTTGTTGACAATGTTGACCAGAAATTTTACCTTTATGATATTCTTCTCACTTACAGAAGCCCCATGACAATCCTCACCTGGATTCATAGCTTTCTGTTAGATAATAGGAACCTGAAGGTTACATCATTACATACCATGACATAACTGCACTATGAAAATAGGAGAAACTTCTTAAGCTATAAAAATTATGAGATTGCTGGCATGAATGTCAAACTATGTTTAGTAGCACGTTTCAGATAGAAACAATCCTACTTAAAGTACCTTTTATAATCTTGCAATCACAAAGCATGAATGACCTCAGACTCCGTAGTTATAAAGATTGAAATACTCTTGAGGAAATAAACAATTAAAGTAGAAAAGAAAAGGAGAGAACAATGTCTTCTTCAACTATTGCACATGCATAACACTATCACAGAGCTAACCTCAAATAACTTCTCTGAGCTATATCTTCTTCCTTTGCCTTCATTATCGATATAAACATATCCTTTTATAAGAAAATCAAATCCAGCAATGTTTGACTTGACTTGCCAACACAAAAGGATTTTACTGACCTATAACATCTTATTGAAACTGTTTCTTTGAGGCTTATAATACTTAATAGGAAGAGTTCAATATAAAATCCGTTAAAAGTCATTTTTATAATGAAAAATTTAACCTTCAAATTTGGATGTAAAGCACCTTACAAAAGATGTTGCCCACAGGCAGTCAAGAAGTCTTATACCTCAGGACCAAAGTACATCACAATGCTAAGACTATGAAGTGGTACTGGATGTACAATTTACAGATGTAGTCATCATGACAAAGTACATACCATTCCGATGAAATTGCTTGGAAGACATAAATTCTAGGCACTCATTGATCTTGCTTGTTTCAAACTTCCGAAAGTGAAGCTTTCCTCTGAGGACTGAGCAATTTGTATTTCCATTAGAAAGTCCACAACTTTCCTTTGAAGACAAAATTCCCTGTTGATGCTCTGAGCCACTATTTTCTCCGCAGAAGTACACCATCTTGATGAGGGAGCCTAGAAGAAGTGAAAAAAAAAGAGCATTGATGATCATGTTGGCACCTTATTAAAAGGAAGAGTGGAGACAAGATATATCAATCCTAAGTGCTTAAAGCTAATTAAATTTTGGACGCCAAGGTTGATTTGCAGCGTCACAAGGCAGACTATACATGCTTTAGACCTTCTAATGCCAATTTAACTGATAGTACACATTAAAAATTGATGAATCTATGGTTCATATCCTTGAACATAGGAATTACCTGCTGTTCCTGTACAGCAGATATCACATATGATGCTCTTGCATCTATAAATAATTGCAATGTCAGGTTATCAAATAAACTGGCTATAAGTTCAATTCCAGCTTTGCGGCAGCTAAATAGCATGGATCTATTTTCCGCTGTACAAACTAAGAGCCAGTTTAGAAGCTTTTTGAATATCAAAATTTGGCTATTTTTTGCTGGAGTGATCTATTTTGCAACGTCACACAATGAATATAATGCCAAGAAACGTTTTGTGCAGCAAGCTCTGTCCTCATTCCATTTGCTATAATTCCCGAATACTAAGGATGTCATCTACCATGTAGGCAAACAATTTATAGCACAATCTATTCTCAGTGAGAATCAAAGAGGACTCCTATAGTGAACTCCAGTCATGGTCAGGGTAGTAGCCCAGCGGTTGGATGCTTGCTCCATAATCCTAACGGTCAAAAGTGCAACGGTTGACGCCCAAGAATCAGACAAAGGTAAAGGAGCTACTGAAATTTCAGTTCCTCCATTCAAACTCTTGGAATTTTATTGACTGGCACAAGAACTTTAGCTCCAGGGACAGTAAGACAATAACCAGTACCTAGACTTCACACCTTCACACATGTTCCAGGAAAATGAAAACCCACGAATCCTGTAACTAGTCTTTCAACGGTAATCAATCAAATAGTTGTGTGTGCATGAAATCATACGATTAAACACCCAAAAGTTCGCAGTATCAAATAGATATACACTTCTCGAAAGCAGAAGATAAAACACAAAATCCAACCAAGAAGGAAAGTACAGGGAAAAACAACAAATCTCAAATCGAAATAAGCAGAATTCGAGCTTACCTCCGATATCAAGAGCCAGGTGTGATACTTGTTCGACACATTTGTTCATCCCTCTCCCCTCCAATTCTCCTTCAGTTACTCCATTTCTATCCATTTTAAACAGAGTCAAGAATCAAAATTCCCTTATGATCTGCCACCAGCTCAATCTGCTCTATCCCTGATCAATTCTCCACGGATTTGGGAAATATATACATATATATAAGGCATGCATAAAGCAATTTGTTCTGTTTTAAGTTGGGTTACCAAACTCGAATGCGGACTCTACCTAACAGTGTTGATCCAATTAGTGTTAGGCTAACACTAATTGGATATAGTACAGAGAAAACGATGGCGTGATGACCCAACATCCATCTTGGAGGCTTCTAAAAATATGGTAGTCAAGTAAGTAATAATTAATTTGCCTTTGTTCTCCAGCTGATGTTTTTGCCAGAGCAGTAATTATCCAGCCAGAGCGAGTTTTCCTTTTATGACAAAATTACCCCTTCAGAAGTCAGCATGCCCACGGGGCCCCACTCCGCAATCCCCACTCCCTCCAGTAAGCATCTCCTGTTCTGCCCTTTTCATTCAACAGTTTTGGCGGTTGCTTCACCGTTTCCTCTGCACCACCTTCAATAAGTGTAACCACCGCCTCCTAACCAACCTTCAACCCTGGGTGTAAGTAACACACATTTCTTTAGTTATTAATTTTCACATTTGTGGATTGTTTAATCGCAAGTATTGATTTTGCACCTGAAAACAATTTTTAGCCGTTGCTATTTTTTTCAATCGGAAGGTTTTACAATTAGAAGATTTCAGACTTGTGACATATAATCCTTCTCACCTCACCATCTAATTTAATTATTTTCGTACCATCTAAAGAAAAGCAAATTCATAAAGGGTACCCTTTTTTATCTTTTGAAATTGGAAACTTTTTGTTTTTATCTAATTTGCTATCGCTCGTCATATTTGAACCGACCGCATTTTTGGCTCCTTTTTAAGACTTTTTTAAGAGCTTCCTGGACATCCCACTTACGTTTGAAAAAAAAAAAAAAAAAAAGTCTTTAATAGCTTCTTAGGGTCTTTAATTTTAATGGACAGACTATAATGACAAAAGACAATAATTCTTTCTAATTTCATGGATTACCCTTCATATTTTTCACCCGCATTTGTATAACACTGTAGAGGTCATGTACTACTCTGGACTTTAGTATAAATTAGACTATGACTTTTTCAGTAATTGGCTTGCCCCCACTCCCCAACTAATGTATAAAACCACAAAAAGAAAAAAAATATATACATATAAGGGCCCTGAAATTATAAATCCAAATAAATAACCCCACGGCTTTACTTTATTACTTTATTGACCGTTTAAAATTTGACCAAGTCAGCAAAACCATAGAATGAACGCCCCAAATCACGTTTCAGTATTAACGCAGGCAGCTGCTTAAACACTTACTATTGGGTTTGTTCGAATTGAATATTAAGAGCGTGTTTGGATTGCATTTTTCATGAATTTTTCGTTGAAAAATTACTGTAGCGATTTGATGTATGTGAGGTAAAAAGATAATAGGAAAATGTGTTTACAGAAAATAAGACCATTTTTCGATAAAAAATAACTATCCAAACAAGCCCTAATTATTTAGGCACACACAAAACAAAAAGTAGTATAATTATAATTTTATATTTTAATCACTTTATATTTCACGTACATTTCATCACAAACTATTTAAGTAATTTTTTATCCAATCACAGTTGTGCATAATAATTTTATATTTAAGCTGCGTATTATTACTAAACTTCTTTCAGAAAAGACAAAAAAAAAAAAAAAAAACCGAATGGAGCTTAACTTGACGACCCATGCAATGCAACCGTCTCTCACTTAAAAATTTATCCCCTAATAAAAGTACAGAGAAAAGAATATCAATAATTCAAATTTTCAAGGACCAATCAGAATTCAGGATACAGCTTCCACTCCTGCTGCGCTTGCGCGGGAAAACACATACTCACGCAGACTAACTAACAAAGGGAGCGGTCACTGGTCTGGTCAGTGGAGCGGAAGAAACGATTAAGAAGAATGGAGGTCTCTTCCGTGCAAAATCTCTGCAAACATGTGAGAGTTCTAATAACCGTTTCTTCTGCGACGATCGTTTCCTTCCATCATTTCATCATATCAATGATATTTCATAATAATTTTTTTTGTTGTTGAAATTAACTTTTTTCACAGTTAATTTTCTGCGCAATTCAACGATGCCGGATGTCCGCTGAGCTTTGCAGAATATCAATCGTTCTGAAACTTTGTCCAGAATTCAATCCTCCGCTCGTTCGAATTTCAGGCATCATTCTCGAGTTCTCTCCCTCTCTCTCGCCGATTACTGTTTATCTTTTTTTAGTTGTAATTTTCATTTCCTTATATCCCCATATTTTTGCTCAAGTACCGAAACCTGACCGTGATTTTTGAATTGGTCGCACTTTAAAAATAGTCTAAGTTAGCCTGATTAAACAAGTAGCCAAAGTGTTGTTGTTGTTTTTTCTTTGGAGAGATTGAAAGGTAAATTGAACAAAGACTTGGCTAGCTTTAGTGTCCTTTTTTTTTTTTTTGGGAAAAAAATTGGAGTAGAGATTAGCGTGGTTAAACGACGTTTTTTTTTTTGTTTTGGGTTTTGCTATAAACAGTTTCTGATACTGGTGTTGGATGCAACCCGAAAGAGTTTGAAGCTCTAAGATATGCGACTAATCCTATATCTGCCAGCAAATTTGGTGAGTTTAAATGAGAATAACATGCTTGACATTCTTATTTCTCAAGTTAGTGATTTCTGAAGCTCAAAACTAGTTCGTCTTCATGTGACTGGACAATTGCCTGAAAAGTGGATTTGGTTTTTGGCTTTGCAGATGGAGTAATCACTATTACCACTACGGGTGAGTTCCGTTTTCTTAAAATGTTTCTTTTAAATGCTTGAAAGATAGCTTTGACATAATAATTACCATCAAACGCGTAATTACCATGCGTCTTATCTAAGGGGAGGTATTTCAATAAAATGGACTATTTCAGATTCGGACGTACTTGATAATTTTGACTTGGGCCAGGACTAAAAAGTTCTACATACTTTGAAACTTCTGCTTAACATTTCTTTCAATCACTAAGGAATGACGATCAGCCAGAAGTACTCATCGTCTGACCGATCGTCTCGGACACCTGCAAATGGCTTGAGAAACAAAGGGATGGAATGGCTAATGAAACCTAATTTCTTTTCTAGATTGATCTCAAGAAAGACATGACTCACATTGTACCTTCCTGAATTATCGGTAATTCTAAGCCAATGTATGCCACTTCTGCAGGCATTTCTGATAATGAAATCCATAATTTCAGCTTGAACATAAATGAAACCATCTCCTCAGGGAGGCTGACAAAGCTATCTTCAATTTCGAAATGTGGTGCAAAATTCAGGCATGCCATCTTCTATACCGTAGTTTCCTTTCTCTTGAAGACATTGTTCTCAATTATTTTCCTCTTCCTTTTGTTTGAATTCTTCTTGTAGTGGGACTGAAGCTGTGCTATCAACAGCTGAAAGCTTAAACGACTTGCAGAGTGACATAAGCTTATTTCTCCAAAAGGTTACATTCTTTATGTCCATTCTTTATCAAGGAACCTGCCTGCTTATTTCTGAAAGCATGGCATTGTGCGAACTGAATCCTTACCTGTTATTCACCTTATCTCTCTTATGGTTTATCCTGCAGATGTCCATGGTGAAATTACCTGTACGTTCCAATCACCCTTCTCAATAATTTGTATGTATGGCATCTGCGATTTTGTATTCTAAAAGAACGTTGCATGGTCATGTAATCATGAGCATATCATGGATTTATGGTGGTTAGATGTGCAAATTCGACTACTGGTCTCGGGGACAATGCTAGACTTGGTCGTTGAATCTTTCATTCTTATGCTTTTATATGATTAACTGATGTACTTTGAGTTGGTTGCTATCTCAATGGACACTGGCAATGATTACGCCGTTTGCAAATGGTACCGATATTTTCCTTCTATGACATTTACCTAACAAACTTATTGAAAATTTTCTTAGCTACGGTAGAGGTGTAATTTGCAGTTACTATATATTCAATGAAACTCGTGATTAATCCTGGAATCAGAACTTGTACTCATTCCATTTGTTCAGTTTCTTTTCAATCGCGCTCTACAATTATTTTTTTTATTTGGTCCTGTGAGCATGTGATGTATAGGGAGGGAATTTGGCTGGCCAGGATATATGTCAGAGAAAAGTACTGCGGATTGCAACTCTTCTATCTTTACATGAACCCCGGATGAATGTTGTTGATATTTTACGTTGGCCCATGCTAGATCGAGCTCAATAGGCCAGAGCTGCCTAGGGTTTTGGGTTTATCAGATGTAGTCATAATTTTGGAAAAACTGTATTCACTATAAATGTTTCAACAGTAAGCAACTCTTCAGGGATTTTCAACCCCTAGTGTCTTTCTCACAGTATTATATATTATAATCAGGTTTCACATGCAAATTACGGGATTACCCTGAAACCAGGCCCTTGCTAAGGCTAATTCAGCAGACCAGTAACAATGATGAAGTGACTTTTTTTTGCAGACAGTTGCTGTTGAATTATTGGTGGACAGTCTAGGTGTACGGGGTTCACAGTTACAGAGTTGTGTTCTTGCAGTTGACTGCAGTCCTCTCCCTTCTTCTGCCACAAACATTGAACGTCTGAAGTCAGGCCTTGAAGAATATGTTCTCAAGCATGGAAATAGACTGGAAAATTTTTGTCAATTGTGCTTCTCAACTGCGTAAGTTTTTGAGAAATTCCATCTTCTGTATGCTATAACCTGTTATGTTGTAGCTTTATGCCATTCAATGGACTGAATTTGATGGTTTGGAAACTCAGAGGTGTTCATATTCAGTTAAAGAAACAAAATTCTCTCCTAGTCAGCTATATTCAGGGCCATATTTCTGTTTTTCTTGTTACCACATTCATGACTTTAGTTTCATTCATTTTAGGTCAATTTTGACAATCGATTTCACTTCCCAATATGCAAACACTGTAAGGTTGAGTTTTCCACATAGAGGAACTTTTTTTGGGTTCCTTCAGTATGTATTCTCCTTAAACAAATTTGACCTTTGAATACTATTGTTGGTAATGACACTTACGCCCTGAAGAATCAGTTTTAGAGAAGAAAAGGAGTTTGTATTCTTTTCTGTGTCAAATCATCACTCATCTATTGCTTTCCCCTGTATTTGAAGATTAATTTGAATGATACTGGTTTGTCCTAAAAACTTTTTTCTTTTGGTGGCAAAGAATTCTCAAGAATCAAGTTGACCTAAAATTTTTTCCTGTACATGCATTGCTAGAATCCAAATTTAGCACACAACATGTAAACAATATAGGTATCCTATTATGGTTCAGGGAACATCTGAAGGTTGGAACTGGCATGGCTAAAGGGTCAGGTACAAGTCAAAGTAAAAGGCAGATGATGGAAGCTGTCGTTGTTATTAGTGAAACATCAGAACCAGCCTTTCCTGCCTGTTGCAGGCCCTTTGGCAAAAGAACAGAGGTTCGTCATGATCCACGTTTTGCTTCTTTGGTTGGTGCTTCTAATAAGGAGACTTAATCTTATTCGTTTTTCAAGAAATGCTTTGTAACAGAGTGTTGTTGCTGCAATACCCAAATCACGGACATAGGCTTCACATGCATGTACATATCATGCTAGTTTTGCTTAAAATTTATGAGAAAATAGGTGGGTAGGGCTATCTGACATGTTTGCAAATGCTTCGCTGGTAATTGTTGAAAATGATTGCTCTTCACAACTCAAATGATTACCATGTCCAACTCAACTTTGTCAGCCAGTATTTGTTACTTGAGGGGAGTGTGTTGTTTGAAATGGTTCTTGTCAAAGTTCTACTAGATGTGAAACTCTAGGAGGGAATGCTTATGGTTTCTTAGCTTTCTGTCCCTTCTTTTCCCCCATTATCTGACAACCAAATTATACAATCTATTGAAATGGGCAAAGATTTACAAAGTTTATCTTCTTAATTAGGCAACAGAAAGTGAAAAGGATTTTTATGGTCTGTCTATGACATAATGCAGCTGTCTGTGCCAAAGAAATGTAGTATGCTAGCTTAATGATGTAAAATCTCCTTCCTATGTTATAAAAAAAATAAGTTGAACAGAAAACCTATTAATGCATTTGTGTTTGTCTGGGTTAACGTTTGATGGTGAATATCTTTCTTCAGGTCTTCTTTTTTAAGGACTTCACACCTTGCTCAATTCCCCAACCATCTTTGGATGCATTGACAAGCATCAAGTGGAAAGATTATGGTCTTACCCTGAAGAGGATTACTGATCAAGATGATATTGCACTTCTGGAATGGGAAAACCTGCCACCAAACTTCCACATTGACATTGCCCTCCACAGTTACCATAAAGAATATCCATTGTAGTCTGCTAAAGATCTGAGGATATTTCACCATTTATTGTGATATCTATATTTGGCATATTTTACACGCGTCTATTTCTTAACTTGATAAAAAGGTCATGATGGTACCTAGCGCAGGTAACAGACAAGCAGACAAAACATTCACCAGAAAAGCTCTCAAGCTTGCGCTCGATGAACTGAAAGAAACCAATGATAAGGCTCTTCTAAGTTCTCATGCACTTAAGGTATGTTTTCTCCTCCATTAGGACCTCTGATTGTATTGCTCTTCTAGAAACGTAACAGCACAATGATAACCTAGACTTGACATCGGTAAATTTTACTGACAATGAAATCTTAGACTTTACGTTGGTAAATTTTACTGGACGAAATCTTATTGAGTTCCTTCGAGGCCATGACCAAATTAAATCTCAATCCTAATTTTTTATTTGGCATAACTGTTTCTAGTGGAGTGCTTTTGCTTCTAGAGGCTACTTATTTAATGACTTATGTGCATGATTTTCATTGTCAACAGCTATTCTTAAAGACCGAATTTTTCTTTCGTCAGTTTAATCAAATTTTAAGCTAATCTAAAAGCTTGTTGCCTTTCTTCAGATTTGCAATTATGCACCTGACCTTGCGAAAACAATTGCTGGCCTAGTTTTGTCATCATGTGACATCAACTTCAAAAAAGAGTGCTTCTCTGTTCTTGGATTGCAATGCCAAAAACTCGAGGCAAGTGGCCTTGAAAACTGCATAAAGGACAAGATACTATCCGCCATAGGTTCAAATGACAGAAAGGCCCAACGAACCAGAGAACCTGCAGCTGTTCTTTTTCAAAATGACTGCTTCCAGTTGGACTTCCAAGACGAAGAATATGAAGATGGTGAGGAAATGTTTAGCTCCTTAAATTTGTAGAGAAATTTGAAGCCAAACGAATCTTGATTTTGTGACCCGCAATCTCCCAAATTGAAGTCTGAGATCGACTGCCTACCTGTTTTTACCAGTGGCGATCTTTTTCATTTAATGCTTTCAACTATGCATTCCTTGCCACAGTGGTCTATGATATATTTCACTGATCTTTAGTGGACCTTCTCTCTAAATATCCTAAGGACATATTCGGTCTACTATGGATTACTGGGGATAGTGGTGATCAACATTTTTCAACCCAGATGACGGGACAAATGTCAACTTCTCCCGGTTTGAAGAATTATTACTCTGCTGATTCTGACATTCAGGACACTATCTCAGTGGTGGAACTAGGCCCTGTATCTTCCAAGTATGACAGCTTCAGCTGCCCGTTTTCTTTGTATAATGTCAAAAATGTCATTTTAGAAGCTAAAATATCAGCATATATATTTTCATGAGACTTTCGATACACAATTAAGAAAGAGATTATTTGATTGCGATTTATTGGTGAATTACAGAGAAATTACACGCTCCTTTTCAGTGCTAGATATTTATTTGATTGTGATACAAACCAGCATTGAACTACATATGTGGCCAAAGTATACGGTAGAGCATAGGATTGACTTGCACCAATGCTGGACATACTCCCGAGTCTTTGGATTTACGCTTATTCTAAGCTGCGGAGGGAGCTGGGACGTAGGATATTGCAGGCTCAGGCATGAAGGCCATGACTGATGGTCTGGAGAAGGTCTCTTCCTCTGGGACAGGGTCTTCAGCCTTGAAGTCAAGGGAAGCATCATTGTAGACATCCCACCATTTCTGAACTAACATCTTGATATCTTCTCTGTCCATATTAGCTTCTTTGCCTGTGTACCTCCATGGTTTTGATCCCTATTTCATTGAATAATACCGGATAAATGTCATAAAAGTTAGCAAGGACTATCGTTCATTGCCGCCAATAGATAAAAAGCGTGCATATATAGGGGAATTGCATACCGCAGCACAGTAGTGAACCACTTTAACTTCATCGAGTTCCACGTTCTCCGGATGGCGCCAAAGCATCGCTAGAACCAAATTGTACGCCAAAGAAATGGGTTTGTACGTAGTTTGGAAGAACATGTTCAAGAAATCCTGTTCCATATCCAGGTAGAAAAATTGTACCATCAGTATTTAAAACTTGGTCCGTGGTGCATGAAGTGTGGATTCTAGTTAAGACCACGGAAAGGGTATTAAGTGGTAGTGGCAGCAAAGATGTATCAGACCTGCTCTGCAAATAGTGTTGGCGGAGTGATTTGGAGAGTTTCAAGCAGATTTTCGTAGGTCAAACGGCTGGGCTCAAAGACAAACATGCCAGCGTTGAAATACAGAGGAGGAGGTGAACCCATCTCAGCTGGCCAGGTAACTTTGTCCGGGCACTGTTGGCAATATCCAATGGAGTACTGTGGGGAATTACTCCAAGTCTTCTCGCAGAAGCAATCCATCACTGCATAAAAGTATCCATCTGCTGCCTCAAACAGATGGTCGATGTTGTCATAAACTTGGATGTCTGCGTCTAGGTAGATCATCTTGCTGTACTCCTCAAACTGTCATGACCACAGTTATTTGATTAGTCACTCCTAATAGTAACCCAAATATGATTGCTCTAAAATACAAGACAGAAATGCTAGAACGGCTTAAACATAGAGCTGTGGATTAAGGATTACTGTAACATATTATAGCACCACTCCTGATTATATAGATAGAGTGTGGCGGTGATGGTTTTTTTCCTTTTATTATTGTGGTGAAATAATGAAATTAGGATGTAAAAGGATATTTTTCTGGCTTTTGCGTTTCTCAGCCTTTGTCTTGGGGCTTCTTTGTTTCTTAAGGAAGATTCTATCTATCAAGTGGAGGTCAAGCTTAACCTAAGCTGATCCAAGTGACATGGGCCATAGAAGATTTTGGCACACAAACAGGAAGCAGAAACAGATACGCTTCACTGAGTCATGATGCCTTAGGCAATGGCCTGATTAATGTATGCCTTCCTCAATCCAATCTACATGCATAGATGCATGTAGAAGCAAGTATAGAAGTGGTGAATCTTGCTACATGCAAGTCTATGGCTCTATGCCATGCACACATCTGGTAGACCTATTAGACCAAGACTTGAAATTTTTTTCAGGTTTACTTACGTTCCATATGCGGAGCTTGGAATAATTGATGACATAGTAAGCCATAGCAAACTGAATCTGGTTTTCAGGTGGGTAAATGGGCTCAATTTCACGAACAATGCAACCCTGTGACCTTAATATTTCCCGATGTTCCTCGGGAACATCCGGGAGGATGGCAACCACAAGGGGGTAGGCACTGTTAACCTTCCTCAGACCTTTGGCCAATCCAACCACTCCTTTCACGTAGTCACCATTTCCAGCTAAAAATGTAACGTACGCTCTCTTCGAGTAGCCTGTGTTGCTGAGTGTTGAGACTTTCCCTGCGGCGGTGAAGGCTTCTGCGGGTACTTCTTGAGGGGCCATGGCAAAGCTTGATGTTGTCGGGTGGATGGGAATGCTTTTCGAGGAGTGTTGGGGAAGTGAATTAGCAAAAGCCTAGGAGGAGGAGGAGGATGCCTTCGTTGCTGGGTTCATCAATGGCATCCTCAGCCTCCTTAAATAGAAAAAATAGGAAACTCACATGCACGGTAAATGAACCATAAATGAAATTCATAAAAATTTATTCTCCTTTTCCTTTTCATTTGAGGAAAATATAAATTGTCTAAAGTCATGGGTCATTGTTAAATTTGACAGGAACGAATGAATGACGACCATTTTTTGCAGCTCACCTTACCCTTATCATGTTGATGAAACAGCTAGGATTTGCTAGAATGAGCCAATGAGGGAGAGTCAATTGCAAAATGGTCTTCGTATTAAAGTCTTTTTCGCTTTTAGTTAATTCTTCGTAATTGGGAATCGAGGGTAAGGAAATGACAAGGCTCTGGAGTGGATGTCCTTGTCTTTGGGATATTTATTAGAAAGATTTTTTCGGGTCTGATATCTAAATTTAAAATCGGATTTGCGAGTCAATAGAGCATATTTGATTGGATCAAGAAAAGGAAACACAGGGGGCGTAGATAAACCATGCTTCGATGTCGTGAAAATTACTACACCCTATACTATGGAGGCTTTCATCTTGTAGCTTAAGCACGACAATCAAGGAAAAAAACACAGTCCCTTTTGTGCATTTATGATGATCAAAAGTTCTCATGTACATTTGTGATATGCATTAATCGCACACCTTCAGGTCAGATCCATTCTCGCAATTATTTCGTCTTATTTGTTGTTCTTCCCTTCCCCTAATCCGACACAATCTTTCTTTTCTTTTCGTTATTAGTAAAAGAAACCAACCGGCTTGGAGAAGCTGCTACAATTTTTTCTTTTTTTTTTAACAACGAGAATAGTTTGTATAATAGTCGAATCTAAGGGAAGGAAGTCACAACTAGTGATTAGAGAAAGGCAATGATTGAATTTTTGACCTCCCATCACCACCAAAACTTTAAAGACGTCTCGTCTCGGTGATCGACAACCCAAAAAACTGTTAGAATGACGTCTTGGAGATGCTGCTAGAGAATGCATGTTAAAATCCATACAGGAAAAACTGCCTGACCTATGATGCTGTTGTGAGCGATGTCACATGTTGAAACAGTCTTGAATTTGCTTAAAATATTGAATATTTTAGCCTCATATTTCCAATTTTTTTAGGGCGGTTGGGCGGGGGGGAGTTGCTTACTGGTATGCACTGACCTAGAAACTTGTTTAGAATACCAGAAACTCCCTATTTTTTGTAACCAAAATAAATGAAAAAGCAAAGAAGGAGGGCCGGCCATCGACCTTCTGAACTTGTAGCCCATAAAATCGTAAACGCATCATTCTTGTATTCTAAAGCATAGAAGATGGAAACTCAACACCATCAATTTGCTTTTTTCTCAATTACCTTATTTATATTACTATTATCCTTGGATTATTGGAACATTTGCATTAAGAAAGCGGCAGTGCTGAATTTGAAGAACTGCGCGTCCGCAAGAACCAATACAACGAACAGCAATTGAAACCAACAAAGGAAACAAAAATTAGGTATTGATGTTGCTGAAAAGCAATAATCACTTCGAGGAAGAAGAGTTCAACATGTGGACGCAGACCCTACAGTAAATGGCTACCATGCAACAGGGAAAGAGGGAGACGGCCAAAATTTGCAGGCGGGAGAATTTCTATGGAATTTGTGCAGATGGCAATCCCAGAAGCTTGCATGTTATGATGGTAATGACAAACGCGAAAAGAGGATTCTCAGCGTCCCCGAGGTGATGATAATCAGGTAATGCGATCAAATTCTCGATATCGATTTTCAATATCTTATCAAAATATGCAAGAATTTGGAATTTAATCAATCATTCGGAAAAACAAGAAAAATCTCAATGAATTTAGCCTGCATGGTTCCTTGTTAAATTTTAGAGGAGTATAAATTAAGAAACAACACAACACTTGTAATTCATAGTGAAAATAAAAAAGAAAATAGCTCATTAACACTTGCATTGAGACTCGAAAAAATGAATTTAGATTTTTTATTAAACTACTCCGTATAATATATATAAAGAGTGCAGAAAACAACTCTGCACAAATCCCAATATGATGTACAAAACTCAAACAAACATAAACTAGTCAAAAACAATAAATATGGAACTATTTTTACAAATAGACTCATTGAACAACTACCTTCAAAAATCTGCAGTAAATTTGCATATCTATGTATCAATTATGATCCATCAAACTAAGGTAAATTGCAAGAGTACGTGGAATAAATTAAGGCCGTCTTTAGCATGTGAGGTCCATGGTTCGCGAACCATTATGTATCAAAATTAATTTCCTTTTTAGTAGACCGAAGGGATTAGAAAGAATATACAAATATATACATGGGAATCATTATCATTATCATTATTTTTAAATTTGTCTTTCAAGAACTTAACATCCCATTGATGAGTAACCAGATGAACGTTTGGGTGGAAACTATCACGAGCGATGATTAGGATTGAAAGCGTGGAGGTCTATCCCACCGAAAGGATATTCGTAAAACGTTCAAATGATTGAAGAGAATTGTAGAAAGATCGATGATGGCAATCATTTTCAGAAGAATATACCATCAGCATTATGAACAAGTTGGATCCCTGACCCTGACTGATGTTCTCGATTCCTTGTCCTGCTCCAGCTTTAGCTACCGTTCACAGAGTAAAAAAGGTCTCTTAGCAGGATAGATGAAGATTGAAGAGGGATTCTTTCCTTAGTACCCACGGCATGTTTTATGATTCAGCCACCATTGTTCGACATGCCTCCTCGAAAGTGCTATTCCTCAGTCTTCTTCAAGGGTCATTGCATTGTACATCGTAAGTTTCTGATCTTATTTGCTTCAAAATCAATTCAGTTAAATCCCCATAGATCGTGTTAATTCTCTGCCG